CTGCAGAGAGTATAGTAGATGATGAAGACGACGATGGTCTCGGTGGATGTAGGACTCCCCCTTCCCCTCCTTCCCTTCTTTCCCTCGATGAAGTCTCGAGCCATGCTTCTTGTTCCTCTTTGCCTTCTTCACAACCTTTTCCTACTGTGGGCGGTTTACCGCCTACACCTCCTCATTCTCCGCCTTTCAAACCTATGACGCCTGTTTTGCAGAGCTCGCCGCGTAAACCTATTCCGGTTGTTAAAACGGTGAAAGCGAGGAAGGCGCCCGTTGCGGCGAGGAAACCGATCTTTTACTCTTCTTAGCGTTTTTTTTTTGTTCTCCTCTTTCCTCATTAGAGAAGTTTACTTCTTTGCTTTCCTACATTATTGATGCGATTGAGCGGTATAAGCGGCATGCGCACACGAGACTTCATCATCAGCACCAACACACTACCTTGTTTCCCACCCATGCATCATTTCCCTGTTTCATTGATCGCTGATTCTTACTTTTTTGCTCCGGCTATAGATGGCTTCTTCGATGCGGGAATGCTTCGTCAGGCACTCAATGCGAATCGAGCGCAGAACGAACCCGTCGAGCGCGACGTTATACGCAGGAATATTGGGAGGAGGTTGAGGTTGGCTGAGTACTGAGTGTGCTGAGGTAACCTGTTGAGTTGGGTTGGTGGGAGATTGGAGGATGGAAGGTGATGGTGCGGAGAATTTGATGTGTGAGGATGAGGAATGTGGATGGGAGATTAGCGTAGTGACGAAGTGGGAGGAGGAGGCTAATGCAACGGCACACTCTCGATGTTGTTTGTGTGTTGGGTTTACCTAGTGCATCACTTCTGTCGGATAACGTCTTCATAATCTATGTCCATACCGCCGTCATCCACCAAACGCACCGTTTCTCAATGTTGCTTGAACCTTTTGACATTCTAAATACCAATGTACATGTATCTATTCCCTCAGTGACATGACGCTCTTTACTCAACATCTCAACAACACCACCCAAACGCTCAGCCGTCCATTTGATCTAGTATATTTGATTCTCTACAAACTACTGCAAAGGAATAAAAGGGGGTATAAGTGACAAAAGACAATACGTCTATACATCCTCACGCAATACAAATGCCACCAAACCTGCGCTATGCTGAACCAAACCCGATTCCGCGGCCCTACAAAATGCGTGATGAAGAGAAAAGAAACGAGCACGCCATCTGACGAGCCAGCTGCAGCGTAGCTGTTGCCCACCGATGAGGGCGTCGGCCGCAGAGAAGGCGATGCGGTCACGGCTCCGGCTACCTCCGGCCCTGTACCCAGTCAGCCCTTGGAAATACATACACAATACGCGTGTTTACAGGAAGAGGGGAGCTAACGTACTAAGACGCTGGAGCCGCCGACAGCGGCTCTTTGTTTTCCGAGCCAGCCTTTGGGTGCTTCGCTGCGTCTTTGCAGGATGACGGTGTTGCTGAGGAGACGCTGGTTCATGTCGTACCACATGGACTTGACCAGTGCGTTTTCGCGGCGCAGGTTCTCGACTTCCTGTTGGAGTTCCACCTGTTTGTTGGAGCACTTGTTACTACCATATCCAAGGTTGCCACGTCGCTGTTCTGGAGAGGGAGGGAACGCGACATACCGAGCCCTTCTCTGACGTCTCCTTCTTTGCGAGCTCGAGTTGCTCGCGAAGTGTGCTGTTGGTTGTGAGTTGATCTTGGAGGTCCTGCGGTTGCGGGTTAGCATGGGCGCGAGCAGATGAGTAGAGGGTATGAAAAGGGAGAGGTAGTCGGATGGATAAGTATACTCTGGCAGCCAGGCCAAGGACAAACTTGCCGCACAGTCATTCGACGATTGCATCGTGTAGTACTCGGTGCCGCCCATGGTCGACTTGGTCCTCCGCTTTGGCGAGACTAGCTGCGCCATGCGGCCCCATGTAGTTTGTCCCGTCCCAGCTGTTGAAGTAGACATGTCCGATAGCGACTTATCCTTTCCGAGATGGGATCGATTTGGCGAGGCCGGCGAGACAAGAGTAGCCGCAGTGAACGAAGGTTCAAGCTGATGTTTCTTCATTGCCGAAACCGCTGCGTCGAACGCGGAAGAAGGCGACTTGCTATGAGAGATCTGCTTGTTACTTACCTTCTTTGCTTTGTCCAGAGCTGCTTCGGAGGATAGCACAGTCTCGGCGATCTCCGAACTCGTGGTATCTAGCACTTGCGGTTGTACTTCTGCTGGGGCTTTGATGACAGACTCTATCCGTTCACGCATCTCCCGTATCGTTTCGACTCTCTTGAGCTCAAGAAGCTCTGGCGGTAGGTTTTGGCGATCGAGCAACGCTGCTCGTAAGAGACCCTGCTTTTCCGCATTCGCAACTTCGAGCTCCCGTAGTCTATCGTTGGTCCTCTCTTGCAGTACCAGTAGGCGCTCGTGTTCCTTTTGGACAGCAGCTGTGCGCGTATCGTCGTCGATATCAGATTCTAGCAGAGTTAGCACAGTCACATATATTAATCGAAATACATACTCCTGTTGAGTTCGTTGCGAAGTTCCGCCATTTGCAGGTCTTGTTCTCGTAACCGGCGACGAAGTTCTTCCAGCTCGGTTTGAGCAGTCTGTAGCTTTTCGTTTTGTTCCAAGAACGGTCTGCAGACAAGTAATTAGCAATGCCCAATCCACATGAAGTGGTCACCTACTTCTGGCTGTTCTCATCCTTCTCCGTCATCATATCAGACCGTAAACCCAAATTCTCCTGCATCTGCTTGAGTGTTTCGCTTTCTAGCGACTTCAAACGGACGTTCAAGATATCGACCCGTTGTTGTAGAGCAATCGCATCTGCGCTCACCCGTCCATCAGACGCGGGCTTCGTGTCGGTGTCTTGGTTGGCGTTCTCGTCTTGTTCAAGCTCGTCTTCCAAGCTTCCGCCACGATCAGCATGATTGGATGATTCTAGTTCTCGTATCCGTTCTTCGAGCTCTTGTTTGGCATCTTCTGCTTTGTATTGTAGCTCGCGAGTCTGCTCCAACTGTTTCATAAGGAGAAGGTTTTCATGTTCGATTCGGGTGCGCTTGCCCTTTTCTTCAAAGATGGCCTGCTCTCCGTTGGCAAGCGTCTGACCGTTCTCTTTGATGATGTTCTGCAGGATATCGATGCGCTCCTCGACGCCTTCGAGCTGAGCTAACCGTTCACGAGCTTGTTGGTAGTCTTCGCGTAGCGTCTCTAGTTGTTTGGTTTCCTTGGTCAGAGACTCGATCTTCTTCTTCAGGTTCTCGTTTGCCTTGGCTTTCTGGCTCAGCTCGTCGCGTTCGGCCTTGACGACTTGCAGCTGATCTCGCAAGTCCTGTTTGGATCCTTCCTCGCCCTCTAGTCGATCGAGACGTCGCTTCTGGCTTTCCATGATCTCTCTCGTATGTGCGAGGTCTTGTTCGAGCTGGTCGATGTACTGTCTGTCGCGCAGCAAGTCGTTCCGTAAGTTTTCGACATCGTCCGATTGAGCGCGTTGTGCCTGGCCGGCCCGAACGTCGAGATAGGCAGTCGCTTCTGCGACTTCCTCTTCGAGCTTGGATATGCGTTCCCGTGAGGTCTTGAGCTCCTCAAGTAATTTTCCAACTTGCGCCTTGAGTGCTTGCCTGTCCTTGTTCGCCTCGAACAGTTGTGCCTCCTGCTCCAACTCGTTGCCTGCCGGAGGTGGCTGGCCCGATATTGCTCGTGTGGGCGTTCTATACCCTGAGAGAACTGGCTCTGAAGTCAGCTCGGCATCGACGCCTAGTTCCGACATGCGTTGGTCCAAGGCCTGCATCTCTTGTATGGCTTCGGCAATCGTCTCGGCCGTCTTCTGGCCCAGCTTGGGCATGACCTGCAGCATGCGCTGGTTGCTTCGCGGCGAGAAGCATGCGGCCAGTAGCACAGCCATGGTGAGCTTTGCAACCAGCATTGTTGATCCATCCCTCGCGCCTGCCTTGAGATCTGGTATCATGCGCTTGGTGAGGACGGGCAGCTGCTCGCATTCTTCGCGTATGTAGGTCGAGGTTGTGCGCTCGATATATTTGAGGTTCTGCCATCGCGGTATCCAATTGTCTGATTGGCGGCGGTGGTTCTCTTCGAAATTTGGGAGGGACTCGTTGAAGTAGTCGGCGTCGATGTCGGCGAGGATCTGCCACAGTATCTGGCCGTCTTCGAGCTGGCTCAGCGACGTGATTCTGTGGGGGAGGTCGAAGGTGTTGACCTAGACGCGACTGTCAGCTAGTCCACTCGGACGTGTAGGAGGCGGCACGTGGAGACGTACCCAGTCGAGGAGAGCCTTGAGCAGCTCGGGCTTGAAGTCGTCCATGGTGGAGTGTCGCGGGGCCTGGTACCCGCGTGTCGGTCTGTCAATGCTGTTATGCGGTGCGAGTAGAGTGAATAACAGTCATGCATCTCGGTGTCTGTGGTTTTGCGGTGAAGTGTACGTGCTCCACCATGCACAGGCTGAGTCCTTGCTCGAGGACGTGTCGCGCGCGTCGGTGAGGTTGGGAGCCCGAACGCTAAGCCGGAATGCAGCACATGCCCGCGGCGACGTCTTGAATCCGTGTGTAGCGAGGCGTAGAGTCGTGCGATGGGCGTCGGGTGAGGGGCATCAGCCTGACATTCCCTAATTGCCTTTTGACAGACGGAACATGACGCGCATAAAGCCGCCGCTGTTCTGAGACGACGTGCACGGGCAGGCCACACCCGCGGGGAAAGAGCCGCTGCAGGGTTCCACCACCTTACCCTACGGTGATCACAACAGTCTCGAGCGTAGCAGCAATAATCTTCAGTGGTGATGAATATGGCTATTGAATACCTTGGTGTTGCCCACAGTCAATGTTGAGGATGGGTTTAATATGTTCTACATAAATCAGAATACTGATAGATTGTCTAGTTGACATTCTCGTCCAACTCCACCCTGTCCGATCCTTGAGCAGACTCCAGACTCCAGTCGTATAATCATGAGCGCAATTAACTAAAGGGCCGTTCCTTCCAATTTGTTGCCCTCTTCCTTCCCCATCCAGCCTACTCCTTGTTGTTCTGCGTGGTAACGATGCCATCCTCCTCGATCTCGCACTTGTACACGTCGCTCAACGTCGAAACCATGTCGAGAGCGGCAGCGGGGGCGGTGGCAGCAAAGCCCTTGATGATGTTGTACTCGTGGGTAATGACGCCTGAAATTTGGTTAGCATATGTCCTCTACCAGTATCGCATGCCTCGTACCCTTGGCCTGTCGGATAGCCTCCTTGCTCTGCTCGACAATGTCGTCGGGTGTGTCGTTGGGCCAGCTGATGATGACGGAGCGGTGGGGTGCGCTAGCCATGACGAAGGCAGCGAGGAGCGCAACGAGGAAGGAGAAGATGGCGAAGCGCATTATGTCTTGGGCGACTTGGGGCTGCGGTTGCGGTGCCGGAAGACGGTTGAGAAGAGTGAGAGCGTCAGGCGGCTGTCTTATCGTGTTAAAATGCTTTTGGACGTTGCGAGAGGTTTATTGGTGGTGCTCGGCGTGGTTTGTAAGTGTCTAGGAGCGACTGGGCAGGTGCATGTTTCAAATGGCTGGTCCCGAGCCGAAGTTCAAAGCGCGTCATCGCCTCACATGTCACACGGCAGTCGCTCCGCTGGACCCCTCGTCACATCGATGCAACCCTGGCCACAATTCATTGCAACATCGTCACTGCCCTGTCTTTGTTGTTTCCATTCACCCCGACGATAGTACAACATCACGCAAGTGCATATCAAGTTTGGAATATGATCCTGTATTCATGTACATAGACTTGCCACCTAGCTCCAGGCTCACGGCAAGTGCCATTGCAAGGGGTAGGTGAAAATGAAGAGGCCGCCCATACGGCGACAGTGCTCGTGCTGTTCGTTTTCGTGCTCATGCTGAAACGTTCCTTTTAGTGCACCAAGGTGCCGTATCGTGAAGACAAGTGATGGCTGGGGGAAATGAAGGGATAGAATACAATCAATGAAGGGGCAAGGGAAGAACGCCGTGTAGCCCAGATCCGTACGCCGAATATGCCGAATGCTGCCGAGGCCGCGCGATGATGCTCGTGTAGTCGTACTATACAAGATCGATCCGCCCAATCAGACAGACAGGACCGATACATGGAAGAAAGATCAAACCATCAAGAAGACAACGCCAACACCAGTGTACTCTACTGGTAAGCATGTTGCGTAGTGATGTGCTTTTGGACAGACCGTAGCTCGTCAAATCATAACCTCGTTGACCGCTTGGCTCTTCTAGAACCAGCTGCCGTTGCCGCCGTTGGTCTGAGGGATGCCGTACTGGTGCTGCTGCTGGTAGCCAGCGTAGCCCTGGCGGTTGTCCTGAACAGGGTTGTGCATGTGGTGCGGGTTGCTCAAGCGGTGCGGCTGGCGGTGAGGTTGAGGTGAAATGATGCTCGGACCATAGTTTGCCGTTGCAGTATACATGGGTGTCTGATAGCCAGAGGAACCGTTCGGAGGCTGGTACTGTGCCGGGGCCTGGTTGAAGACCGAGCTCGACTCAGAACCTGGCCCAGCGCCGGGCGAACCTTGACCAGATGAAGTACGGCCAGTGTAGGCAGCCAGGCGGCTCTCGCGCTCGCTAACCTTGCTCATGATGCGACGACCGTAAGGGGTCTGGCGGATGGATGGCAGGATCGGACGCATCGCCTCGATCAGGTGCACGCACAGCTCGGCGGGAGCAAACTCGAGTGCAGTCTGGATAACGTAGTTGCCGTAAGAGTCGCGCATGAGCTGCTCAAGCTGCTCGACGTCAAGCAACTCCTCAATCATCATGCCCTTGACGTGCGGCTCAGCGCAGCGGATGCATTTCTCGATGACGTTGGAACTGAACTTCTGCTTGGACAACTCGCAAATCTTGGTCTGGAAGCCCTGGCACATGGGGGTCGTAAAGGCCGCATCGTTGAGGTCGAGGATGTACTGAACCACGTAGTTGCCAAATGGATCCTGCACAAGATGGAAGCTGTGGGCAGTGATCTTGCGGATCAAATCGACCTTCTGGAAACCGACTGCGTGATCAATGCAACGCTGCAGAACACAACATCCATGGCGGTGGGTACCAACAGTGATGCAGTTCTCGCCTACAGCATCGAAGATGAACTGGGCCTCCACAGACTTGAGGTGGTTCAGGCACTTCTGAATGACGTGGTTGCCGTTCAGATCCTGGATGAGATCGACGACCTGTCCAGACAATGCGTGAATGATCATCTGAGTCTGGGGACGGATTAGCTCGGAAGCGGGATAATACCGGGGGTCGTAATATACCTGATCATCGGTGGAGATGAACTCGATCATCTTCTGCAAAGCGCGAGTGCCGTGCTGGTTGAACGCGATCTGAACCATCGCAGGAGAAGCGTTGCGGACAAGAGTGTTGCGCTGCTCATCATTGCAGTACTCCAGTAACTTCTGGCAGAGGTAGTTGCCGAAAGGATCAGTCATGAGTTCAACGACGTGAGGGGCAGTCTCATCAAAGATGATCTGAATGTTCTCCGCGTTGCGCTCCTCGAGCTTCTTCTGCAGGAACCGACAACCATGTTGATCCTTGCACAGACTGTAGATCTCATGACGGGGCATGGTCTTCAGATCGTAGTTCATGTACTTGTTGGCGTCGTTCTGCAGACGACGGCTCTGAATAACGCGAGCCTGGCTGTCCTGTACGCGACCGCCTGGGCCATAGGTAGCGTATGGGTTGTACTGCGACGGTCCGTTACCGTACATGTTGGTGGGAGCGTAAGCAGTGGGTCCACCGTACTGAGGACCGGGCCCACCTCCAAGGTTGAGACCATTCAAAGCACCGTTCAGCATGTTCATACCGTATCCATAGTATCCTGGGTTGGCAGCGGAAACACTCGAGTACTGTGACATGGCTGGTGAACCGACAGTCGACGAGACTCCGCCGTTGCCGTTGGCAGCTGAAGTCATACCAGGACCGAAAGGTGCAGCGCTTGCGTGCAAGCCTGACTGCGGAGAACGGTACTCAGACTCGCGATTACCGAGTGAGAGGTCGCGGCTGTTACAGTTGGACAGGACATTTGACGGAATGCGACCGAGGCTAGCGTTGTGGTTGTGGAACTGCTGCGAGTGCGTGAAACCGATACTATTGGCGCCGTTCGCTCCGTTCTTCAGAGTCGGAACATCGTTCGTGGAGTACGACTGAGTCAACTTGGGCATGCCGTTGGTCGGGCCGCCGTAGCTAGAGCGCTTAGACTCGTTGTTCTTGGGGCTGAAGCTGAACTCCACCGAGCGACGGTTGTTCTTGGGAGTGGTCTCGGCGCCGTTGGATCGACCGGACTCATAGTCGTCCATCTGAGAAGCTTTACGGAAAGTGTTAGCAGGAAGGGACTGTTGAGCCTGACGATGACGGTGTCCGTTCCAAGCAGTGGACTGAGCATCCGGGCCAGGGGACTGTGAAAGGGCCAAATCAAGTGCAGCGGAAGAGGCAGAGAGGTTCGTACCATTACCAGCACCATCGCGGCGGACCAAGACTGGGAAGTCGTCCTTGGTATTACCCATCTGGAGGAAAGCCTTCTGATCTTGAGTGGCAGCTGATGCGTCATCACCAAACAAGAAGCCGGCAGTATCAATATGACCAAGAAGCGAGCCCACATCTGGAAGATTTCCGCGGTTGCCGTAGTCCATTCTAGTAACGGGCATGGACATACGGTTGTTCCTATTTGGGTTAGCAGTGTTTGAGGTGATGTTGTGCTGAGCCAACTTACTTGCGCGCGGCCGGACTCAGTGGAGTAAAGTCGTCATTCTCAAAGTCGTCGTGCTCCTCCTCAGAGTTGCGACGAGATCCTGGCATCGAGTGCGAAGGCAAGTTGCCGTTGCTCTGGAAGTTGGCGGGAGGGGAAGTGACCTGGGAGTTGGCACGGCTACCGCGTGTGGTCATACCCGGGTTGATACTGGACATGCTGAAACGGTTCGGACGCGACAAAGCGGACGGGAACCCGTTGCTCTCGTTGTACTCGGGCGGGGTAGTGGGCTGGCTATGCGCAGGTCCGCCGTAGTGAGCATCAGCCGAGAATCGGTTGGTGTCACTCTCGCCGTGCTGGGCTTGCAAGTTGAGGAGCTCCATCTCAGCGTCGAATCGCCGTTTTGCTTCTTTGAGATACTCGTGTTCGATCCGTTTTCTCTCAAGCTAGCAAGCTGTTAGCTGGTCACACGGACCGGCGAGGGTGTTTGAGCGCGTTTGTCGTGAGGCAACAGCGTCGCTCGTGACGTAGGACGATGCAGATGGGAAGAGATGAGGATATAGATAGGGAATAGAGTCTCAAATGAGACAGAGAAATGTACAAGAGTAATGATAGCAAAGCTAGCTTTTGGAGAGGCAGACTTTTGTGGTGGTGTAGGAGAGACAAAGGCAAAAGAGAATTGTTGGTCAATATGGGCGTCGCCTGGACAGGTAGCCTTGGCAACGACTGCAATCTTACTTCCAGTAGGATTTGTGGGTGACAAGTGAGAGACGCAGAAAGACGCAGTGAAGTAGACTTACAACTTGGAGCTTGTGGTACGTCTGTTGGGATTGGTCGTTAGCCCGAATTCTTGGTCACCGCGTATGTATAATAGCTAACGGACAGCAGCTCTACCAGCGCAGCCACACTATGTCGTTTCAAGTATATCCGACATGGCTGTGGCAGCTGCTGAGTACCGACATGCGAAGCGCCGCGGAGCCCCAGCACTGAACATCCGCCTCTTATTTGTACGAGAGTGCCCACATACCGCTGTAGTAAACTCAGCCGGCTCTGCCGCTTGTCTACGTTGTTGTCCGATTGGCGACAGAGGCGTGCTCATGGTCGGAATGTTGTTGGTCGTGAAGCGGCGCTGCAGGGTCGCGCGGCCATCGCCGTTCTGAGCGGCGCGATTCAGGGAAAGGAACGACTGCTCTTCGCGCGGGGATCTGAGGCCGTTGCCTCCTCCCATGCCTTGGTAGGCCATACTGGCTAGAATACTAGAAATACACTGCCGTCACGTCAGCGCGACTGCCCTGGGAGCTGGTGTGGGGGATTGGCGGGCGGTGTGAAGTTCACATGGCAGCCGCGACCGCTTCACTGGCGACACGGAAGGCGCATTTACATACAGATAATTCGTACACGGGGCAAATGCCCTTGCTGCCCTCGCTGCTCGCTGTTCGTGGTCGTACAGAGTCGGGACGGAAGCGTGGTTGGAGGCTCGGTACGTTGGCAGGAACGGAAGTCGATGTGGTGCGGGTCGCAGCAGCGCGCACTCGATGGCCTATGCACAGCTCGAGTCGTGGGTAAGGACAGTCGGAGCAAGTCTGGAAGGGTTGGCCAACAGTTCAACTTCAGGCGCCGAAAGAGCAAGTCTATAGATGGAGCGGGAGTGGAGCGTTGGACTCGAAAGCTCAGGGTCCATCACTGATCAGGGGACGATGTGGCGCTCAACTAGTGCTGGGTGGGATTCCGCACATATTGCCCATCTGCTGGTCGCGTACTCTGCCCAATTGAGGTTTTGGACCCTCCTGTTCTCCCGCAGCTGTCTACTGTACATGCGCAGCTACTGTAGAGACTATCTAGCACGCAAACGCGCATCGCATCCCAGGATTAAACACACGTTGTAGTCATGGCTTCGGAACGCGGTGCTAATCGAATCTGGCAACCCATCTTGTATGTGTCGTCCCAGCCTTTGTGCAGCTCCGCGCAGCTGTCACAGCCTTCCGCTATCCAACGCGGCCCACTCTAACTCGATATGCGCGGCAAACGTGGTTCTGAATGCTTCTCTACAGCGCGTTCCAGGCCCCTGGAGTGGGATGGAGATGCCGGCGGGCGGTGCGCAATGCCCTCACGTCATCCGGCAGCTCTTCGCCCAAGAGTCCCCCAGCCAGTCAGGGTTGCAGCATCTAGTAGTACCGCAATAAGTACTAGGAGGGGCAGTGTAGCTTCCACGGCCGAAGGACTGGCGGGGCATCGATCGTCTCAAACACCGACGTATGCCGCTACGCGTGCCGCGCCATTCTGGTAGACATGTCGTGCAGGAGGACTGAGTGAGTCTCTGACAGTTTTCTGCTACCAAAAGGTTGGTTTATTTGTCAGTAGGCGACATCGACCGACACTTGTTCGATTCCCTGGCTTTGCATCTCACCAAATGCCCATCTCTTTGCGACAATGGCGATCTTTATAAATGAGGCGCCTCGTTCTCCCATGCAGCCGATGCGGTTAGATGGGCCTGACCGCTCTCGTTTCAGAATAGAGAACCAGGCATTTCCCCGCACGCGCCTTGCATCCGCCAATCAGTAGGGGGATCAGGGTGGGCTTCGTGGAACCGGCTAAAAGCAGGCCAAAGCGGTGCTCCTGTATGTAACATGGCCAGAGGAAGTAACGCATCCAGAGGCATCGAGCGCAATTCATGTCTGGTTGGCAGGCTGTTACTTGCGACTTCCTCATAAAGTTTGTCGGAGCAGGAAGCAGCAACACGTGTGCCATCGACCAATCCGGCAGCCACGCCATCGGACCTCTGCACCCGAGAAGCAATGCACGGCTGCGCCTGCCGTTCCTATTTGCCACCCTTCACAGCATTCCTGCAGAATAGCCTCGGAGACTGATGCAGGGTGCCAGTGACTGCACCATGGGGTGTGCATTGTCACCGAAGTGGCTGCGTTCTTCGAAGGATCATCCAGGTTGCAATGAAGAAAAAGAAAGATTTTGCGAGGCACGTCATGTTCTATTACAGATAGTAAACGCGCAGTTTACCTTAGCAATCTTGGTGGCTTTGCTGGTACGCATGCCTACACACTGAAGCACTTATACACTTTCATAAGTGCCCTGTGAGGCTGCCTACAAGTAAAGAGTCTTGCAATCTTTTCCCTAGAGCTTACAGGATACTCCTCTTTTCAAACGAAACTTTCTCACAGTGTCTAGTTGCACAAGCAGAAGGGAATGCGAAGCCGAGGCTGCGACGTCGTCGGCTCCAAGCCCGCTCAACTAGACACTGTTGGCGTCGTATGGTCCCCTCTTTCGACGCGAACGGACCCGCAGCGCGCTATATAGACCTGGAGATCATGCATAAGTGACATATCCGATGGAATGCTCAGGTTGCGCACTTCGACCTCTATACTTTTGATGCGAACGTAGATATGTCCAAATTACTACACCACATTCTTAACATCGCTGGAACAACTGCTGGTCATATCACGCTCAACCCTCTAGTCACGGCCGCTCTACTCTGGGTATTGACGAAAGGACCTACACAACTTCGCAGCCAACTTACTACTCGGATCCGCGCACTTCGGGACCCGTTTCGCTATGCACAGCTCGTGAAGGCTTTGAAGTGGTGCCTGATAGCTGGAACAGCAAGAGTCGTCAACAAGCAGCTTAACCATGTTGCCCTGAACGCAGGCAGATTGCGAAGTGAAAAGGCGAGATGGAACTGGAGCCGAGAGGTCGCAGTCATTACAGGAGGCTGCAGTGGTATTGGAGAGCTGGTAGTGAAGAGGTTGATCAATAAAGGAATCAGAGTGGCAGTGCTAGACATTCAGCAACTTCCTCCAAGTTTGCAAGGCTGTAAGACAGATCAATACCCACTACGCTGGATCGCCTGAAACTAACGATGACGACAGATGCCGGCCTCAAATTTTTCAAATGCGACATTACTGACTCTTCCGAAGTCTACTCGGTGGCCGAGAAAGTCAAGGAAACAATGGGGGCACCTACCATCCTCATCAATAATGCAGGGCTTCTGGCATCCCACACCATCCTCACTACGTCCGACGCGTACCTCCGAAAGATCTTCGATGTAAACGTCCTCAGCAACTGGTACACCACCAAAGCTTTCCTGCCAGACATGCTCCGACACAACAAGGGCCATATCGTGACGATCGCAAGCACGGCAAGCTTCATCGGTGTCGCTGGCCTGGCAGATTATACAGCGACGAAGGCGGCTATTCTAAGCTTCCACGAAAGTATGTTCCTTGTCCCATCTCTTAGCTGCAGTATGCTGACCCAAGTTAGCGCTCACTCAGGAACTCAAGCACCACTACAACAGCCCAAGCGTTCTCACGACTTCCATACACCCTAATTGGGTCCGTACACCTTTGATAGAACCTGTGGAGCAGGAACTCAAGAGGCGAGGTTCTCCCATTCTTGAGCCGACTGCTGTTGCCGATGCAATTGTCGGACAAATCATGAGCTGCAGCGGTGGCCAGATCATCTTACCAAGCGCTGCGGGCAAGGTCAGCATGCTGAGGGGATTGCCGAATTGGGTACAAGAGAGTCTCAGAAGCGGCGTGAGCAAGACGATCTACAATACCGTGAAATAAGTTTAATGGAATCCTGTGTGTGAGACTTCGCAACTTTAGCGTGTTGTGCTAGGAAGTACCACACCCATCACACACTGCATGCGGCCCCCGGGAAGAAATGTGCTGGCCTCGGCGGCACTCATGCAGCGAAACGCTTTGTGTGGTGGTACGAACATGACTTGCCGGTGCGAACCAACCCTTTGCAGTAGGTTTGGGGGAAAAGCGTAGAAAACTGCATGCACTGTGCCGTGCCCTACGCATAAGGTGTGTGTGGGCTTTGCCGTGGTGCAGGTGTGCCGGTGCCATTCACATCGCTAGCGTATCGGTGAGTCGCGTCCAAATCGCCGAGGAACGCGTCGCGTCTCACTCAATCGACCACTTTACTACAACGACACACAACATCGCCCACACGACCTCAGCCGCTAAAACAGACGAAGGAAACCATGGCAGAACCACAAGAAGATGTTCAGATGGACACCCAAGACATTGAGCTGGAAACGCCACCTTCAGATGTCTTCATGGCACCTTCAATATCCAAATCAGGCATTCTTGGCGGGAAGTCATATTCGCACTTCTCGCCCATACCCAAGCAAATCGCAGATGACATGTCTGGAGAAGTCGTGCTAGGTGTCGATGAAGCTGGAAGAGGTCCTGTCTTAGGTACTAGTCCCCTGTGAAAGTCTTCTTCATCACTAACACATGCAGGCCCGATGGTGTACGCCCTCTTTTACCTACCGATTGAACTCCACCATTCGCTTCTCGCCGAAACGCACCACTTTGACGACTCCAAAGTTTTGACTCCCGAAGTCCGCTCGAACCTGATGCGCAAACTGTGCACCCAGGGCTCAGATCTCTACGAAGCTGGCGGATGGGCAACACGTGTAATGTCTGCGCAAGATATCTCAGCACACATGCTGTCCCCGAATGTATACAACCTCAATGCGCAAGCCATGGATGCGACAATCGACCTGATCAAGGGAGTGCTGGCACAAGGCGTCAACGTCAAGGAGATCTACATCGACACAATTGGCAGACCAGAAATCTATCAGAAGAAACTAGAGAGGATCTGGCCTACGATACGGATCACAGTCGCGAAGAAGGCCGACAGCCTATACCCCGTGGTCAGTGCAGCTTCGGTATGCGCCAAAGTCACCCGAGACGCAGCCCTAGATGTCTGTTACGAACCCTACCAGAAGCGCAACACAGCGGCGAACGAAGATGCCGAAGTCAAGGTGGCTTGGGGCTCTGGGTACCCATCGGACGCGCGGACAACCACCTGGCTGAAGCAGAATATGGATCCTTTCTTTGGTTGGGGTAGCGAGACGCGCTTTTCGTGGGGAACTGCGAAAGAGCTGCTGGAAGGGAAGAAAGCAGATGTCGCTATCGACTGGCCTGCCGAAGATGACGGCAACGACATGCGCATGACGGACTTCTTCAGCGGCAAGAATGAAGGCGGCGGAGACGAATTGGTCGACTGGTTCGGGAAGCGTGTTACGCAGGAGATGGACGTATTTTGAACGCTTCATTACAGAGACTGACACCACGAGAACCGCTGAGAGAACAAAACATGCAGGGCACAATGATCGGGCGCATTTATCGGTCCGTTCCAGACCCGCACAGGGCGTCAATATTGCAAGCAGGGTCTACCAGCCGGTCAGCCCTACAGAAGCAACGTCATGCCCCGACCATGGGTTTGACTCGGTTGACGTACCCGCGCGCGAGTAAATATACCATCCAGGCAACACAGGCAACCTTTGAAGGCTTCATCTTCCCCATGAACCGGATAGAAGACATGATAAATCATACTAAAGCGGTTTTAACGAAAAAGGTCGGCTGCTCAGTCGAACAAGTTTTTGTTTTTCGGTATTCAAAGTTTGGAGTGCGTGCGTGTCGGTAATTGACTGTACCAACGGTTGTACATACAGTGCACCAACCATGGGCGAAAGCCCGCGCTTCACAACAACAACCGTGCTCCAACCATGTCATTATATAGAAATACTCGAGTCACCGCCTCTGCACCGCCTTCTTGGACTCCCTGTACTTGTCAGCCCCAAACGCATACTTTACACCAGACACTGAAGACGTAAATATATTTGGCGCAATCACTCGACGCTTTGTCTACCTAATCTTATCAAGCGTAACCTATCTTTACAACAGAAAACACTACAGTTCTCAAAATGCGCAACGACGATCTCGTTTATCAGACCCTTTCCCGAGAACTTAGCGGGTCCAGGCCGAATGGACGGAGAGGAGGAATAGCGAAGCGCGGAGAAGGTAGCCCATCCATAACACCTACCCGCCACGAGCAAGACACCGAAGCCTCGTACTTCCAGGGCGCGACGTTCACCAAAGAAGACGAAGAACCCAATCTCGACGCATATCCTCCCTCTCCACCACTGTCGCCCAAAACGACAGTACCACCGAAAGCGCCAACGAGACACCCCGCGGAACGCAAACGTGGCCATGTGCGTCATCGCACATCGCTGAAGCGCAGATCGAGCTGGAATCCGAATCTCAAGCAAGAGTTCCTACGACGTGCTTCGATCGACTCTATAATCGCTCCGTTCAAGGATACGATATGGCTTGAGTCAGAGCGTGGTGTCACGTCTGTGCGAAGGAGAAGCAGCGCAATGACTACCGGCGCCAGATCAATATCACCTCGTAGTCATGGAGACAGACGCAAGCCGCGGAAGCAGTCGACACTGCTGCACCCATCGTCGCCGGATGTCAAGCCTGTGGCTGATGTCACTCCTGTCCATGCTGCCCCCGTGTTCAGAGGGACACATGGGTGGGATGCTCCAGCCGACTCTCCGACTCTTCGACCTGCTATGCCGGCCAGGAAAGGCTCATCGCTTTTACATCCATCGCGCCCTTCGATCGACACTCTTGAACATAGGGAGCTGAAGACTGTCTTCTCTTTGCCGCCAAACCGTCTATGGGAGGATGACCGTCGCCGCTGAAACCCTTGTTCACTGGAGCTTCAGCTTCTTGAACCAGCAGCTGCCATGCTTTTCATGATGTCGTCCCTGTCATGTGGACGTCAGTTGAACGAAGTAGCGGTGGTAATCCGGTCAATGTACCTAGGTACAAAGTCACTACTAGTGCCACACCAACGTTCATCCGGATTAGTGTCCCCCGCATTTATTCAACATTTATGCTTCAGTCGCCACTGCCGTCTATAAGTCGGCTGGTGTTCTGTTCTCAATCCACAAAACTTACATCGCACTACATCCGCTCCCAACGATAGTGTATCACCAAAGGGCGAGACCATGACACCGCGAAACACAGACTTACCTTCGCGCCGCGACTTTCTCAGGGACAACCTCGTCGTCCACGACAATTGCGCTATCTGTACAGAGCCATTTGATACGGAACATCAAGCAGCATCCATCAAGACAACAAACTGCCAACACACATTTGGAATAGAATGTCTCACCCAATGGATAGAATCCGACCAGGACAACCACAACACCTGTCCCATCTGCAGAGAACAACTGTTCTCTAAAATCGACAAGCCCGAATTTGTCGAAGGAGCACGAGACATAGTCGGCCCACATTACACAATGGCCCATCAGATCCAGACCTGGAGACCGGCCAAGACATTCGTTAAGAACATGTGGCGTGCCATGTACAGGCTCTACGAACGAGATCAGGTCATTTACGACTCTGACATTGAAGAGCATATCAACGCTAGGATTGTTCCTGGTCTCTATATATTCAGTGACCATTGGCCTGGAATCAGGGAAGAAGCTCGGAGGATGGTGCAAGAACACTATAGGAATGGAAGCTATGTTCCGCTCATAGGAATGCAGCTTAGGTTTTACTTGTACAACGTCGAGAGCGTGTTGGAATGGCAGATTGGAGACGAAGAATCGGAACATGAGGTGTTAGGTGATGAACCATCAGATGATGAGGCGTCAGATGTTGAAGATGACGACGATGATTTGTCGATGGCGGATTCGACGGAGTGAAATGTCCAGGAAGCTTTCGGTCAGCTCTATCACCTGCTTTGTGCGCTCTGTACCAAAGCCGAGTACTCTTTTTTATTGGCGAGTCGAAGACGCCGATAACTGTAGTCGTACATGCGGCATTACCATTACCATTCTCTTTCTGTATCGAAGCCTCACGATAGTGTCCTATACGGTTCCCGCCGCTTCTTAGCAATTCGGCGCTGCGCAAAGCCATCTGCGCGCTCTTACCGCATTGGGCCAACTTCACGTTCACTTTGAAATCGATACCGCGCCTTCCCCGTCGGTGAGAGCACGTTTGCCAAGACATTCGGAGCACGAACAACGTCTGCCTATTACTGACCTGTTACTCGTCACCATCGAAGCTCACATCCACAACCAGACATGAGCGCGCCATTTGAGGACCGACAGACTTTCCTCAGACTAGGCACCAAGAGGAACATGAAGTGCTTCATTTGCGACGATATCGTCACAGGTAAAGACCGTGAACAACCTTAATTCTGCTGTCCGATCGCTGATACATTGATCATAGTACCTAACGTACCTATCCGCATACAGACCGAGTTACATGACTGTCACGGGATCTATTGCGAGGACTGTCTGCTTCGTCATCTAAAAGATAACAACACCTGTCCAATCCATGAAGATGCCGTCCTCTTCGAGCTTCCTCGGCAGCCTGAGTTCGTCTCTGGAGAGCGCAGAGCGGCCGACACCCTCGATCAGGTAACAGACAGTGTCGAAGCTTTCAAGTTCGTCGACAAGCTATGGAATGTCACCGAGCACTTGTACGATAACGAGCAGATCTTCGACTCCGACATCAGAGAAAAGATCAACGAGACTCTAATGTTTATCGGCGAGTGCTACAATCACAAGTACGGATTACTCATCAAGGATGAGCATTTGGCTGGTGTCATGGATGTGGCTAGAGAGATGGTCAAGATGCACTTCAAGTACCGAGGGACAGCTCCTGTACACTATGAGGATGACTTATCGATACTTTGGTCAGCGGCGATAGGCGATGCAGTAGGATGGAAGATTTCGACCACGTATGGCGGCTGGTAGTAAATCTACTCTACTATTGGACATCAGCCGCCTTCGACACCGGAAACAATGACGCGTTGAAGAGAAGCTGGTTATGCGGTTGAGCTACGGTCTACCGATCATTGAACGCTTGTAGCAGACAGGCTATACGATTGAGCTTCTAGTCGTAGCTTCCAAGTGCATACAGAAGACAGGCATGAAAGTTCTAGTCATATCTCAACTTCCCAATCAAAGTGTGATAGCATAGTACCAATGTGTTGTCCATACGAAGTCCCAATAAGCCAAACTTTTACTGCCATTGTCATCGGCGTGCTCAAGGTTTACAGTGATTGTAATCACCCAAATCTAACAGACCCTCCTCAAGCGCCTCGCAAGCCATGTCTACCAAGCGCCCGTCTCACTTGCGCCTCGAGTTTGCCTCAAACACCTTCCACTCCTCGACAGACTCCAGTAGTCTCTCTTTGCTCCAACCTCTTTCCAATCCCAACTTATACGCAGCGCATGCGCTTTGGTAGATGTTGAGATCGTCGATCTTCAGGAGCTCGCTGGATGCCGAGCGCTTGACTTCCTGCTTCAACTGGTAGTTGGCAGTTGCCATGGGGAGCTGCATGGCGCTTGACATCGCTTCGGCGATGCTTTCCCCGAATCCTTTTGCGTGGCCAATATTGGCATCAGTCGGTGTCTTGGACGATATGAGCTCGCCGTCATCTTTGTCTTTGTTGCTGACTGTTCGCAGTGGGTTTGTGAAGCCCAAGTCTTGTAGCGTCTGACAAGGTTAGTCGCTAGAATAGTGAAAGTGTGCAGTTGGACGTCGCTCACTTGATTTGTCTTCTTCGCTGTTGCTGGCTCGCGGTATGAGAGGTTCTTGTTGGGATTCATGATGGTTCGGCGCAGTTCTTGAGTGATTGCCTGTGGTTGCGGTACTGGCTCAGGCGATTAATCGTATGGCTTGGATCATATGGGAAGCGAGAAGTGGGTGCCCGCGATTACTGAAATATTTGAGACTTCCTGGGTGATCACCGAGTAATTGCAGGAGCGGTGTACCCAGGTCTCTCTTACCTTCTTCACCAATCGCTCTGTGAACAGCGCAGGCGAGGAATGATAGAGCTTCCATGCACTCCGAATAAAGGCGACACTTCGACATCGTTGCAATTGCAGTAGGGGCGCAAAGCACTTGTCGTTGCAGGCGCAGTGATGTTGTGCGCAGTGATGTTGTGCGCAGTGATGTTAAGATAGTGACTTCGCAAAGAGTGGCTGGTGCATTTTGTAAAAGTGTACCACGACTTACAGAGATGACATGAATGGGTTGATAGTAACTATCGCAGTGAGTAACCAGAACTGACTTTATAGCTCGAGAGTTTACAACGAGACGTGCGAAGACGTGAAGCAGAACATGTAAGACAGCCAAAGAATAATCCATTTGCAGCAACATCGTTGCGCAGCAGGACAATAAGCTCAAATATGAATCATGACTCCCGCGTACATTCTACTTTCTTTGTTCAGGAGGCTCTTGGTGTTGGTGTTCCGCCAATCCTCAAAAATATTCCATCTTCCCTAACTCAACCACCATCGTCTCCTACCACCACCACAACACCGCGACGACGTCTAGAACAGCAAAAAGAATGCATCGGCCGGGAATCGAACCCGGGGCTAGCCGAAACTGTCCTGTGAAGGATGGCAACGGCTAATTTTACCACTAAACCACCGATGCGAAAAGATGGATGCTAAGACAGCTGGAGCTGTGAATGTGACCTAACCAGGGGTCGCAGCGGGGGTGTCAGCTTTGCGATTCGAACAGGAGGCTTCTGAGAGCTACTTACAACCTGGAATCTCTTGATATCGAACGAAGTCGTAGTCAAGCGCCTTGCCATTGGGCCATTAGGCCAGTTGTTGCTTAGTAATGATGGAAAGCTGTCGTTCATGATCGTATATAAGGGCAGACATTGACAGATGACAAGGCATGAAGTTTGTTGGTTTGCAAGAAGTGGTTTGGTGGGGCAGTGTTGCGGCAAACTTTTCTCTAGTGAGGGGATTTGATGGTGGGGCATGTCGACCGACCCTGTCAGGAACACCATTTTCATTACCTGAACACGTCTGCAACTGTCTCTGCCTGTGTGATTGAGTTAGCATCTTCAGACTTGGAAACATGCTTCGGATGGCTTTTGTGTTCCTCGACGAACCCCGTGTCGGTCCAATTGTTAGAGCTCGTACCTACGACTACGCCGCAATCGACCGAGCTTCAGACTCTGAGCCAGCAAGGCGAAGTATCTTCGACGTGGCCATGAATGATTCCAAAACATTCCCATGGTACGGTAACCATTCTGTTTAGTCCCATGAACAAACTCTGGGCATCTCTTCGCCCTCTCGTCGGCATGCCAGTCGAACGAGAGGTTTATCATGAGGAATCCAACGCGGAGGTAGCGAGGTGTTGTAGTATCAATTTTCGCTTCATGCCTGCAGTTCTTCCAGGCTTCTCACCATTCTTCAAGAACGTTCGCGTTTACGACGCTTCATTCATACTTTTGAGGAAATGCGTGAAGCGGCGCGTCGAGATCCATACTCTTACCGACAGTTCACGTCTCCAAAGTAAACCTGTCTAACCTCTCAGACACCGTGCGAGCGAGATGCGACCGTGCCAATTCTGTAAGGCGGGGAGAGCGACTAGTTGAATCCTATCGATGGCACCGGGCACTATTCGAATCAAGCTGCCCGCATCGTGCAGCTCGCACTGGCTTTCGATAGCAGGAGCGCGCTTAGGTCTCTGCGGAAGGCATGTGCACTCAGTGCTTTTCGCTGTCGTAAGGTACCTAAAAGGCTATCCATTTGGGGCAAGAAGAGCGGTCGTATCCATGTTGTGATATCTATATCCAACAGCTCCAAGGGCTTGGTATGTAGTGGAATTGAGCTTCTCAGTCGCGCGCGTTACCCGGTGAGGTAGACTTGTATGCGACTCCAGTCACACCGAATCCACAAAATCGACGTCATTAAACCCCATACTCTAGCACTGCCACCACCATGATAACATGTTCAAGCGCTTTCTGTCTCTTATCCGTAGGTCTTCAGGGCAGCTGCGCCAAGCCGGCAGTCATCCGGCGCGGCGTGTTGCTTGCCTTATTCTTCAACCACGGATCTCTGCCTGTTCGCTTCTAGTGTACGATAAACAATGAACATGGGGTACAGCGCAGTAGTCGCTGCCGGGTATACTGCTTCCAATCAACCTAGTCCTAACCGCTTCAGGCGGGCAACTGAGACTCTTGTGCAGCATAGCCAACTACTCCGGAGTACATCATGGCTAACATGCCCTCTATATAGTATGGTCACGTTGCTTACTTTGATACGTTCTTTTCCACAGCTACGACCTCTAGCCAAATACGATGGCTACTTCAAATTTCCTACCCGCCTATTTACTCATATCAATCACTCTCTTACAGTCCTGTTTCGCCCAGCTCAACGATAACACACCATGGTGTCCTATTACAACGCCTACGTACAACTCCTCTGGTCAGACCGGGTTTCAGATGACATCCGAGGAAGACTGGTATATATCGCTCGCCGTGAATGACCGCCGAGGGTTCAGTTACAGCTCGACTACTGCTTATATCAGCCATCCAGAGGTGACAAGCGTAACTATGGGTTGCTTCCATCGATTCAAAGCCATCAATGCTTCAGCGACGGGAACAGGCGAGAACGGTTGCGAAGGTGTGCTGAGTGCTGAGTGCATGGACGTATTGCGCGAAATCTCTTTTCCACCTGTGACTTCCGGGGTCTCCATGGACGACATGGAATGTGAGGACATCGACAACGATCGGATTAGAGATGCTTGTCCCAGCGAAATACTGGCCCCGTTGATTGTGAAGAGTGAGTGTTTGCATCTTTCCTTCTGATAGCGCTGATTGCTAATGAAACAACGCAGCCCCAGTTCTCGGCTTCTCGAACGAGACATGTGATGATAGACCGCCACCAGGAGAACGTGTTCCTGAGCGATACCACACAAGGCTCATGGATACTTATTCAATTGATTACGATCAACGGGACCGTGACGCCGGTAGCTTCGAATCGTATGACGTTTCCGTCAAGCGGCCTGTACCATCTGTGTTCGCGGCTTACCTTGCTGACGGCACGACAGAGACACATGTCGTATGCGTCACACCCGACCATGTGGCTGGGGGTAGCCGAGAGCCCGAAGAAGAAGAGCCATGGGATCTCCTGGAGAGCACCGGTGCGCGCAGGTCTTGGGGGATAGCTGGACAGGTGGCAACGGTAGTCGCAATCGCAATAGTCGTCGCAGGGTACTGAGATGAAAGACTGATGTTCAGTAGACTAAGGAACAATGGACAAGTGCGAAGAACAACATTAGCATTAACCCGTCAAATGCTTCACCGAAGCTCATACAAACAACCGGTCTATATGGTTCTGACCAGACAACGTGCGCATCGCTCCGGCTCTGTACATGCAGCGACTGACCTCCGGGATTCGTGCAACCAGCATGTTTCTCCACAGTCACACCATCGAGGCCTTTTCGTATCAAAATAGAACCCCCTCAAGGGCTTTTTGGGTGTAGGGCGAAGATCGAGCGCCTGTGCGGTAGATGGGAGTTTGATGCGTCTCTCGAAAGGCTCAGCGATCCTCGTCTGTAACTAGTCGCAGCGCTCGAGGCCCCTCGGAGGGGTTGACGGGACTGTGTGTTGATGGTCTGCGGGACCGGGAGGAGACATTTGGGTCGGGTTGCGGCAGACGCTGTGCTGTGCGCATGCGCCAGTATAGGAATGATGGATAGCTTCAGGGCGTAACTTGTCTGCGCCAGTTGTTGGGTCGAGTTAGCGTGCCAAGGCCGGCTCGTGGAGATTTCCTTCCCCGCCGCCAGCTCCTAACAGACAAAGCGCAAGCCACCATCCTCGATGCCACTGGAGCGACACCTTCGCTACCATTCTAACCACCTCCAATCCCCCCTCAACTCTATGAACCCATCGCACACCAACGCATCAATGCTTTTTCTAGGCTCGCGTTTCATCATGTCCACCAAATCTGAAGTGAGATGCACCGCCGATGCCTAGGTAGCCAGTGAGCCACGAGTCTATCCCGTTGAAGGCATCGGTGTTGTAATGCGCCTCCTCGCGTGGCTCAGTGCGACCTCCGCAGTCCAGCCCGTCTCAGACCTTCCATCGAGGGTACCTCGTGCTTGCAAGGTCTCCTGCATCTCGCATATCGTTGTGGCGCTGGAATTCGCAATACCCGTTCGTCAATCTGAAGATCACGAGCAAAAGCAACGCGACGATCCACCAGTCGCATGCAGGAGAGAATGCGCCATTCTCCACCCATCCACACGAACCCATCTCACAAATACATCCTTGGAGGGCATTAGACTTCGAAGTTCGTTTTTTCTGTTTGTTCTTTTGGGGCTGTACTGCAATACTGCATTGCTACTGCTTCGATTCCAAGCCACAATCTTCACTACTGCTGTTTCGGGCTGCATGGTGTGGAGACAGAGGCGCATCTACTCTCACGATGATGCAATCTCCCATCGGAACGAGATCTCGTCTTCAGAGGACTCATATGTTATCTGCTGTACTTGGTGGAACTTAGTAGCGTACTCTGGTATGCGGAAGGGGACGCCCACCGTATTGACCCTGAGGAAGACCCTCCAGAGCCCTGAACTGGCCCCTGGCAAAGAGGGTCAACCTTGAGAAAAGCAGTCGTGTCCTGGAGCCTTCCGAAGCGGTACCTGATAATCCCGTCCCCAGGCGCCTGATAGCATTACTAGAGCGACCGGGCTGTACCATGGAAAGCACTAAAAGCCCTGCAGTGGAGGACTAATCCAAAGGCGCAACGGGAAAACAAAACACCCCGCTCGCGTACCTTGCAGACTATGACAACTCGATTGGCTCCCCACTGTGCATGCGCAGCTTTGCTATCTCTATAGCGACGTCGGCGAGGAGCCGTGAACCACGCGCCTGTGTCTGCGGTGGTACCCCGGGCTGAAACGCCATGTCCAATTCGTCGTACAAGACGCTCTCCTCTAAACATCCCGTGCCCCTCTATTCCTCTCGACCACAGTCCTTTCTTCCTGCCATACAGTCGTTTCACCCGTGTACTTCTCATCAGACATTCAATCGTTTCAATCACCTCACCTTCGCCTGGTCGACAACTCTGCATGAATACACGGAGCAAACAGGACACTGCTACCGTCAGCTCACGCAATGGGTGTCGATGCCAGCGCAGTCCCAACAACAGAAACTCCGCTGCCCTGGCTAGTCCACGACAAGGGGCCCCTTCATCTTGCCATTGTCGTTACGCTGGTCTTGACCGCGCTGTTGGTTTACTCGCTCAGAGCCTTCACCCGTGGAAAGCTCCTTCGCTCCTTCGGCATCGATGATGGACTAATGGTTCTGGCCGCTGTAAGTTCAGTGCAGTTCAACGAAATGGTTCATGTTTGCTGACGCAGAATAGTTATGCACAATAGGAATCTTCATCACATTCACTGGAGTCGTAGAGCTCGGTCTGGGACAGCAGCAAGACGACTATGTCTTACCCGCCAGCAAGACCGTCCAAATGGGCCCGTGGATGTGGGCGTTGAACTCTTTCATCATCTTTGGGCTTGGTCTCGTGAAGCTGTCGGCTGCTTTCACTCTCTTACCTCTTACGAGTGCTAGACGCCAGTCGTATCTACAAATGGGACGCACTTTCCTTCTCATCTGCCTCATCCGTAGGTCTAAACCAACCTAGCTTTCAGGAGCAAAAGCTGACTGACCTAGTACTCGTGTTCTGGCACACAATTGAATGGTTCACATCGCTTCTTGCTCAGTGTGTACCGCTCGTGGCGGCTTGGGATCTCTCGCGCGATAATGCGGCATTATGTATGTCGCAAAGCGAGTCCGAGATATGGGCCATGGCGAATTACTGTAAGTACAACACTCTTGGCTACAACAAACAGATCTGACCCGTTCGTCTAGCGATCAATACAGCGTCAAACGTGCTAATGGTCGTCTTTGTTTTACCCATCGCCGTCGGCACTCCTTCCAATCTTGGAGCCAAGCTACACATCCTCGCAGTTCTATTATTGGGTCTCTTGTATGTTCTCATAGTTCACAAAGGTGCCGCTAGAGTATTGACCGCTAACACATTTGCAGTGTATGCGCTGTGGCCATTATCAGAACCCGAACGGTCTACACCTCTTGGGGTCACGTTGGCCATCGCAACAACTTCGACTTGAATTTCACTACCTGGGGCATGATCGAATTCCTAGCTGCCATGATAGCCGTCAACCTCAGTACTTTGGTGCCTCTTGGTAGAGCGATCCGCGATCCCCTCGATACACCTCGCAAAGCCCCGCGTGTGGCTGCCATCTCTGGCCCCGTCGCCGGCAGCACTGTTCACCTCATTCACGGCGATGTCGACGATCTCGTTCCCAGCTACTCCGAGTCTTACGAACCGGAGATGGATGACTCCTACAACTCCTATAACTCCCGCTATTCTGGCCAAACAGTCATCTACCGCCCGGACACAGCATACTTCCCCTCTCACGGCCATAATAACAACAGCCTAACACGCTTTCATGACGACGAGTCTAACCTTGACTTCGACATCGAAGCACCCTCAACCCGATCCAGCCCTCGTAGGGTCACAAAACCAGGACCATCTTCGCGCTTCTCTGTATCTACCGTCAGCACGCGTAGAGTGAGCGACTGGTCACAACTCAGCGACTTCACATACTCCCCACCCAAAGACTCCGATGCCGATTTCGAAAAAGCGATGAGCGGTAGAGCTAGGATCAGCGCGGCAGAGCTCGAAGAGATTGTGAAGAGCTTAGGGTTGAAGAGGCAAAGTAGCCACGAAATCTGGGATAAAGAGATCGGTCTCTTTGAAGAGAAGAGTGAAGACGGAGGGAGTTCCGTCGCGCCCACAATATACCTGGAAGACGACGAGGACGCCGTTGACAGTGCGGGAGTCCTATGCACATGTCCAGCACCACGTGTCAGGAACGGCGATGCAGGTGAATCTGCGCTACAAAGCGAAGCAGACTCGAGCGAGATCACCGTGATCCGCATACGTGGGACAGCTAAGTGCAGTCTCCACAAACCCCTACCGCGCATACGCTCCCGCGAGTGGCTCGCGCGCGGATAAACAGGCTACAACAGCTCATATTTCCTTTTTTTTAACAGCGGTCTTTCCTTGCACACAACATTTCGTCGCAAACCGCAGTGCCATATTTCGGCCGGAGTCATATACCATCATTAGAAAGATTCTTTTCAGAACATCTCATGTATTACTAGCAAGATGAGATGCAAAGATGCATCTCACTTAGCATTACCTACTCAGTAGCTACCAGAGTCCATAGTCATAATTTCTTTATCTCAACCCGAGTCAATCTTGAGTTCATACTATGAATGAGTGCACTTCTACTCAGCCCATCGCTTCTTGACAAACTGCGCTTGGTGACCACCAGGTAGCTCACTCACCCACGCATCAATCTCCTCCTTGACAACACGCGGAACAGTGCACTTGTTCATCGCAGCGGCGTCCTGCGTCTTGAGCGTGGGACAGTTCTGGTAGCAAGGCGAGTCAAGAGCGCGTTGAAGTGCGTCGCCTTGCCAGCCGAAGAGGTAATCGCCATGATTCGCGTAGCCCGTGCTGTCAAAAACCATTAGCCATCACACCAGCTAGTATAAGAGTCCTTGACTTACCCATCGCCGAAACTCCAGACGAATGGTTGACTGCCATCTTCCGGCCAATCAGCCTTGTTGTTGAACTTGCTCGTGTCCCAGATGACTTCGTAGAAGAGCTGGCCCATGCGCACGGGGTGGCTCGCGGGGCAGGGGCCGCCGGATTCGAAAGACCCGTATTCTGGGTAGGACATGTGTGCCATATGGTCTGGAGAGTCCAGATTGACACCATCCCAGCAGCTAAGGCTTGTTAGTGGACTGGCATGCTGCATTAGTGAAAGGAGATAGAACAGGAAGACGTACGTGGGAAAGCGAACAGCAGTCATGATGCCCGTCTTACACGGCTGGGTGGGGAAGTCGAGAGTCTGCGGGTCACGCGTGTTGATAGTGTCCAAGCAAGTGAATGTTAGCTGGCGGAAGCGTTCTGCTTCGTCTTTGGTGCGCGCGTTGACGTCGCCGATGAACATGCGGAAGCCGGGTTGGAAAGCCTGAACTTTGGAGGTCTGCTGGAAGTTGTAGAGGCCGTCTTGCATGTAATACACTGTCATGCCTCCGTTTACGCCGTTGAAGCCTGAGTTGGGGATCTGGGGAACGCGTTTGTATGTACCGTTTCTGGCTTTGAAGTATAGAACGGCTGTCCAGTAGTTCTGCAGAACCATTAGCAATGTCGTTCAGTTGACAGGTGGTTGGTTCAACATACGGAGAAGTCCTCGCTGAACTGGCACGAAGTGCATGTTGACTCTCCCGGCATGTCCTTCTCTGGCTCCATGGTGACATTGAAGGAGTTACCTCCAAGAATTTGATGCAAATGCGGCGAGGGAGCCTGGCCTGGTGTGACCAGAGGGTCTAGCCTGTCGATGACCAGCTGAGCGCATGGGAAGCGTAGAAGCGCCGTTGTGGGTGCAGCAAGTGCAAGGGCAGTAGCACTGAAAACCTTCATTTTACAAAGCTGGTGATGTCCTGCTTGAAAGGAGAAGATGCAGGCGGTAAGAGGTATGCTTCATGCTCAGTGATTTATACAACAGTGTGAAATATGCGCGCAACACCGCTGGGGTCAAGGGTGGTAATGCCGAGCGGGTACGCCGTGTCGCAAAGGCAAAACTCGGTCTCGGTAAGATAGCGATGGGCAGCATCTTACGCTGGATGAAAGCTAATGCGCTTTGGGACTCGAAAGATGAATTTGGATGCACGATGTCGTCGCATGAGTGAGTAGCCTCCACATCAACGCTCCTGGATTACATTGTCGAACGCTCCTCATCCACTTAAATTAACATGACCTATCGTTTCGGGCGCTCATGGCATCCAAAGTGCTGCTGATCGAGTTGCAGATACTCCATCGTCGGCTTGGCCAATTAGCACGATCTCATGATGATGCTGAGCTGGACGTCTTCGGTTGGCGACAGCACCGTTGTGATTGGCAAAGGCATTCCTCGAGCCCGAGTGAGTCCAATGATGCTACTCTTCGATATTCCACAAGTATTTGGAAGTCTTGTCATGCCGTCGGCAGTTGCATGCATGTGAGCGGCGGAACGTACAACGCCCCACCTGTACAGCGAGAACTCCGGTTACCAAAAAACTGTGAGTGGTTGATCCACTTCTCGGATAGGATGATATTCGCGGACGTTGGGACAAGGTTGCGTGAGCCTCAATCTATTCTACTTTGCCGTCGCGCCAAGTTGTGGGGTACCAATCCTTACCATTTGTTTATATTGTCCAACCCCCGTTCCTCATTAACGCGTGCCATTCGTACGGATACGCTGACATGGTACAAAAGAATTTCGCGTTTGTCATTGGCCGATCATAATGTGCCCAGCTGGATAGCGACGGAGGCCAAAGGGTTGTAGTCACGTGCTGATCGGATTGTTGAAGCGTGCAGTGAGCCGAGAGAATAGGCTGTTGAAGAGAGTGGGATCTGATCGCAAGGAACGAGCCCTTATCAACCGGGTACGATCCCATGGAAGCAATATAGTCCATGTGGTGCTGTCAGGTATAGACTCCAGAATCTCGAATATCCTTCTGGAACGTCAACCACTTCCGCTCTTCAAACCCGGAAGCTTTTGCATCTCTTCTCATTGGACGTCCTGTCGCACGGCATTTCTTCTCTTTACTGGTTACATCGAAGTCAACCATGAGGACCAGTACTATTCTCGCGTGCTGGGTGTCAGCTGCATCTGCCGCCTTCGACTTGAATCGTGGGGGTGCAGTACTCAAAGCGCCTCAAGGCGACTCGTTTGCCAGCGTAACAGGCACTGTGAGTGACTCTCGTGCTGCATGTGATATGAGTACTAACTGCATATACAGTTCACAGTACCGAACTTATCGGGTAGCAACCGACTCTCGATCTGGGTCGGCATTGGGGACACACTTGAACAGGAGAACGTACTCGGTGGTGGCATCGTGTACAACAGTACGCTCAGAAGCTTCTCTGCATACTTCCCCGGTCCGGTGACAGATACCACTTCGACGGTTCCTGTTGCCAACGGTAATTCTATCACCGTGACAGTCAGCGTGGCTACTGCAGGGGGTACTGTGACGATTGAGAACAAGACGCAGAACAAGAGGACAACACAAACACTCGCAGCTCCGAATGGCGTGGATCCGTCCTCTCTGACTGCGCTGGCGGCAAACTGGTTCGTGCAGGCATACCAGGTGATCCCAGGCCAGCTTGTAGCTACACCAAATTTTGGAACAGTATCGTTTACTGCAGTTTCGGCAACTACTAAGAGCGGCGCGAATGTCCCGCTCTCCGGCGCAGGTCGATATGAGATACAAGGAACCAGTGGACAGGTTAGTTGTACATGGCGTACCACCCGACCGTACTAATATCTGGTTAGATGTACTCGAAGACAACAGTATCGAACACTGGTATTTCTGTGCAGAGACAGGCGTAGAAAGAAGGTTGCGATAGTGTTGCTCATGTTCGGAACACGATTTGGGAAGTCGCTGCCTCCGCGTAGTTAATCGAGAATAGATAAGCTTGGGCTATTTCGCTGTTTCGTCGAAATCTTATATATGAAAAACGCGTGCAATAAGACAGATTGAATGCGCGACGATGACCGGGAGAGTTGGTGAAGTCCACTGGTGATGATGTGGTGAGCAACGCGCAGGCGATGACGTTCGCTTGGCCTCCCCTCCACATTTCTCGACGCGTCGCGACTTCCCACCTGCAATCGTGCGACAACACCGGCAAGATGCGCTTCAAGGCGTCGATACAGAACATTAATACCTTTACGAGTAGGTGCATAAGCCGACACTTCAATCTGCGACTAACCCCTTGTAGAGCTTACGGCGTCGCTCAATTCGCTCGGCCCGCTCGCGTGGGTGAAGCTCAGCGAGGAGCAAGTATGCTTCACCATCATACCAGAGCAGGGCACTCAAGTATGGGCGTGAGTAGACGCCTCGTACCTTGGTGTCTCTCGTTCTAACTGCATGCAGTGTCCTCTCTATTGTAAGCCTTCTGTCTCATCTTTCGCTGGCAGGATGTTAATGCGCCGCGCAGGACTCCATCTTTGAGACCATCAGCGTGCAGTCAGCAGCGAACAACGTCATCAACCTCGAAGTTCCGCTCACTTCGTTGAACCGTGCCCTCAAGTCAGCCCTCAATGCCACCTCAGCCCAGATACGCCTCACCAAGAAGGACAACCTGCCCATGCTTGCCCTCACCATCGTCACCACGACCTCCTCGAATACGTATAGCGCCTTCCCTGCGGCCACAGCCAACAATGACGATGGCTTCGACGCTGCCTTTGACAATGAATTTGGTGGAGGAAACCGCGAGACCATTGTCACGCAGGAGATACCCGTGCGGGTGCTTGCGCCAGACACTGTAGCGCATCTGCATGAGCCCGTCTGTAGAGAGCCAGACGTACACATCATACTGCCTCCTCTGATGCAGCTGAAGAGCATCAGCGACAGGTTCACCAAGCTCGCACTGGCAGACACCAAGGCAAGCACCGCGACGACGGCATCAAGGACACGCCTTGAGGTTGCCGCCAACATGCACGGCTGCCTCAGGATGAGGATCCGATCCGACGCTATGAACATATCCTCCATCTGGACCGATCTTAGCAATCCAGAACTCGATCCTGGCCACGTCGCTGGTGGAGAGGATGGCGTAGCTGAACACCCAAGCACGCGTATGAAGCAGCTGGGCACGGCGGACGGGCGTAGTGAAGAAGGCTGGGCTACCGTGAGGATCGATGGGCGTGACTGGGGTAAGGTCATGAGTGTGGGTAGGCTGGGGGGACGAGTTATCGCTTGTAAGTCGTACCAACTTCAAATCTGCCAACATGCTAACATTCTCAAGGCTTCTGTCATGAGCATGCACTCATCCTCTACGTCTACCTACCCAACGATAATGGCGACGACGAGTCGGTCCTGACAGTACGTTGCACTCTTCACACCCTCGCTCACCAGACTGACATCACAGCAGTACTTTATCAGCTCCTACAGCGCATAGCTACCTTCGCGCTCATGTCATCCTCACGAGGCACAAACTAGATACCTTTGCTCACGCAACACCGCATACCTCATCACCACCATCCATCGTACCAGACATATGATCTTGTGGTGGCGTGCGCTACACGTTGACACGTCGACGTGCAAGCTAGAGTGACCACAACTCTCGACTGTCTCCAGAAATGCGTATAATTGGTTGTGCTACTCGTATACGGCTACAATTGGAGATGGAAGCGTCGGCAAAACTAGCACTTTATTAGCCGAAGGCAGCAGAAGGATGCCTAAAACACCAAACCGCTTGCACCACGCCGAGACAAAGTCTCATGCTTTGAATTGGCTTCTCACGATAAGTATAAAGTCGGTTACTCCTCTCAATCAGGCGTCCGCTTCATAGTTCCCCAAAACACAACATGGATGAATGGAAAGGAGCCCTTTTCAATTTCACCTTCACCGCCTCTTTGCCTTCCCACCCATCTGACTTGAGCGACGTTTCTGTAGTCAATACCGACAGCTCGTGCATCATTACAAATCTTGCGACTGAACTCGTTCATCATATCATCGACTACATACCTCCCGCATCTCAGATCGACTTCGCATATACCTGCAAGCATTTGTTCGCATGCTCTGCAGACGTTCTCAAACGCCATCGCGACGCTCATACAAAGTATTGTGTCTCGTCTGATATTGACCCAACGACTGTTCCCACACTCCTCCGAAGCGCTTACGGATATGGTGACCCAATCCCAGCCTGGCACGTTCGAAGTCTGGAGGTTTGGTATGATCGCATAGGATGGGATGCATGGAAGACGCTTGACTTCGACGTTCCAATCGATCAGAGCTCACGGTCGCCAACAACCTGGGAGTTCATACCCGGCGAAATCGATGACTATATGGAGCCATTAGATCAAGCACAGAGTGATCTTATTCCCGGTGCACGCGCTGAGGAAGCACGTACACAAATTATTGATGGCTATGACATTTACCTGAAGGCCCTCCTCGTTGCAAATTGTCCTAGGCTTCGAGACGTCAAGTTCGTCATGACGGCGCGCGATGGGGCGGTATCGAGGTCATGTCTCGACTGGCTTCAGACATTTATCAACGACTCTCACAACAAAAAAACTTCTTGGGGACCTGGCCTCACAAATCTTCGTTCAGTCGCTGTTGGTCTGCCCACCGGAACTTGGATGGATTCGGCCTATCATCCCAATACCTGGCCTTGCAACACAGTGTCTCTGGTTCAGTTCCTCCGTCTCCCAAGCCTCGAAAAGATATACTTTAGAGATTGCGTGGGTAATTTCCAAGACAGGACGCCCTGGAAGAATCTTCTACCTGCTGGAACCTCCCCTGTCAAACATCTCTTCCTGGACAGTTGTGGGGAATTTGGGCAAGAATTCCTCACTGCTCTTACTGCCGCCCCATCAGGACTCATCACAGCCTCTTTCCGCGCCGGCGATGCTCCTTGTCTCGAGGACGCGGACGAACTCGTTCGCAATCTCGGCACCTACCAAGGGAATACCCTGGAAAGTCTGATGTTCTATGACTATCATGACAATCCCCACAACATTCACGGTTATCGCTGCGCAGCCTTCCGCCCAGAAGAACTCAGCAACATGAGGAAATTAAAGCACCTCTGCATGGACATCCAAGACATTGAGCTCGAGGCCTTCTACCAAAGAAACGACAGCGCAGAAGATTGGGAGAGTGACGGAGCGTATCTGGAACGCTGCTTCTTGGAGAGTGTATGGAATTATGAAGCCCTGATTCTATGGGGATCACTCAGCGAATCTTACATCAAATGGGAACCGAACGAGGAACAAGGCTTCGAAGATGCCATCATTTCTCTGATCGGAGGACGACCTATACGAAAAGATACTCTCACGAATGAGAGAAATCGCAAGTATAACACACTGTCTCTGTTCGGAGTCCCAGGGCACGGAATCGCAGGGACGAAAGCTGTGTATCTGGAGAACGTGGAGAAAAGCAGTGGGCCCATCACTACTTTTAGTCCTGGACGCGGAGGAGAACCCTCACCAAACGAAAAGAGTAAGGTCTGGTTCCGTCGCGCGATTGAAGTAGCGAGAAAGAGGGGCAGGGATCTTCATACGCTTACGAATCGCACCAAGCCGCGCCATAAGATCGAATTTCCTGAGGCGCCTGATAAGTACGACCTCAAGAGCGGTCCGTGGGGCGAGAGACCAGCAGATTGGGTCTTCAATGTGTATACGGGTCGTAGGGAGCCCAAAGGCTGCGGCAAGTGTGGGAACTGCGATGTTTGCTTTGGGTATTACAGTAAGGAAATGTGGGATGGGCTGGAGAAGGAGCCGAGAAGAGTGAGGTATGATGGGAGAGATGAGAGTTAGATCAACGATCAGGATCGAATGAGAAGTTGAGAAAATGTTGCGAGAGATGTCTGCTTACACCAAACGTCATCTATTCGTCTATTGGGCACACGAAATGGAGGACGCAAATATGCTCATACCCAGCACAAGAAAGAAGAGATTGTTCACGTAGTAAATATAAGTGTCACGTCGAAGAAGACTACTGCACACATCTGGACAGAACAGTCACATTCGAAGAATACAATGTATTCATCATCAACCCATCAGCCACCATCTACTTCCCCGCATTATCAACATGCTCCCTAAGCTCCTTCTCATTGTCCTTTGCCAGCACACCTCCATTCGATTGCGTAGCGACAACCGAGCTCCTCCTCCTCTCCGCCTCATGCGCCTGCTCCGTATCCGCGTAGTCCACAAGCAGCTCGCCCTTCTTGCCATAGCGATGCGGCAAGTTATGCGCAATACCAACGACATCAAACGGACCGCTTGCCGCGTGAAATATCTCGTCCATTTCCTCGAGAGACCGGTATGCAGTCTCTGGAAAGAAGAAATATACCGAGGGTACCATTGCAGCGTTGATAACGGCGAAGATAATGTAGGTCTGGTAGCCAATGTTTGCGAAGGCAGGGGGCGTAATCATTACAACGAGGAAGTTGAAGATCCAGTTGGCTGTGGTGGAAATAGCGTTGGCGGGCGCGCGGATAGATAGCGGTGTGATCTCTGCGGGATACAGCCATGTCATGCCTAGCCAGCCGATGGCGAAGAAGGAGTTAAATACGAAGAGGAAGACGGTGGCGAGGAGACCCAGGCTTGTGTTGCCAATGTTGCTGGTTGCACCTGCTAGCACGGCCATGGACATGGACATGCCAGCCGCACCGAACATCATCAAAGAGCGGCGTCCGAACTTCTCGATTGTGAAGATGGCGATCCAACTAGCCATCCAGTATTCGGTACCGTTGCAGGCGGATAGAAGGCGACTGAGGAAGGGCGAGAGACCGATGGAGTTTTCGAAGATGGTTGCAGCGTAGTATGTTACCTATAGTGAGGTTAGAACGGGCTGGAATAGACGCAGTAGTAGTAGTAGTAGGTTACCAGGTTTATACCAGAGATCTGGAGTATTGTTAGTTACTATTTCTTGTCCTGTTGGAAAAGCGAAACTTACCTGTTGGAACATCTGGTTGACATAGCCCAACACAGTGCGGTGGAAGTTGCGGTTCTTGTTCCTCTTGAAGCAATCGCGGAAGCCACCACGCGACATCTCCTCAGTAACATCCTTGACAGCCTGGAACTCGGCTTCGACCTTCTTGTCGTCCATAGGAAGGTCGCTCAACGCAGCCAACACTTCAAGAGCCTCTTCCTCACGACCCTTCAGTACCAACCAACGCGGACTTTCGGGAAGACCAGGAATCATAACGAGAATGAACAGGGCCAGAATTATTTGGAAAGCGATGGGGAAACGCCAGGCAATGCTGCTGGGTTCGAGGAAGGAGAAGCCGAGATCGAGCCAGTAGCTAAGCATGACACCGAAGACAATCATTGAGCCTTCAATCATGACCATCTGCCCTCTGCGATGTGGTTTCGAAGTCTCGGACTGCCATGTTGGGACTGTACTTGTGTTCATGCCGTTGCCGAAACCGGTGATCCATCGTCCGATGATGAGCTGTGCGAGTCCGTACGATGCTGTTTGGAGGATGGCTCCGACTATCATGATAGCACTGCCGATGAAGATGGTCTTCTTGCGTCCGAGCATGTTACCGAGCCAGATGGTTGCTACGGCGCCGAAGAAGCAGCCCAGTGTGTAGGCACCGACTAGACGGACATTAGCGACGTTGGGCTTAGATGCTGAGCGATCTTACCTGTGATGGCTTGGATAGTCGCGGCATGGCTTTTCGAGCTTCCTGGGGGTGGGTTGTTGCTGTCGATTTCGGGGAAGTATTTGATGAAAGAGCCCAGCGTGAGCAAACCGCCCATTACACCCTGATCTGAGCCAATGTTAGAATTGATACCAACAGTGATGGCATGAATGCTTACCATAACCAAAGAGCGCGAAATCTGTGCCTGCTATCACAGCAATAGCAATGTTGAGCTTAGTGCCCTTGAGGCCATAGAACTTGCCCATCTTGTTTAGTAATACCAACGATCAATGCGTGTCGTGCCAAACAACGAGGTAAGAAAGGCGTTGCAACAAAACAACAACACAAGAGGCCAGCTCGCTTCCACTTCGTGCGAGGTGCGATCGATGAGGTACGACAGCAGGCGCGACGACCCTCTCTTAAGAAAATGTGAAAGGGCAACCGCGACTCTCTGCCACCAATGTAACAGTAGAGTCCGTCCTCACGCCGCCAACCCAGCAATAACGCCGAACCGCCCTGTCTACCGGCGTCATCCCCACAGTTTGCTCTCGACGATGACGTTTGGTCTGGAGCCGCTGGTGATCCCAACCCCGTGGAGTTTGGCGTGCGGAGAAAGACACACTACCCGATCGCACGGGGATGCCAGGGTCACCCTTTGTGATTCGTCGCAATTCACCAGTCAACTCGCAGTCGCCCATCGGAATTACCGCAATAGGTACTCCCGGCGCATTATGATGTCGCTAACAGGGTGAAAGTTCGCGACACGGGCGCACCAAGACGGTGTTTCGCGCCGCTTTGGTGCTTGGTGGCTAAGCATCGCGAAGGCGCGAAAAGCTCCGGCCTAGTCCGATGCTTCGGCTCGTCTAAGAAATTGCTTGGGCGGCTTGCCAAAAAGCGTAGTTCCGCACGTCAGCACTTGTGGGAATAACCTGGGAAATGCCTAAAAATGCCCTCGTTTCGAAGGGACGGGTGTTGTCAAACCCAAGGCTTCGGGGAGGTGTTTGGTTCTACGGTAGGTGTGCCGGTTGAAGTATCCAGCTTGCGGGATTTACGATCATCAGGGACAGGGTGCGTCAACCACGCGACAGCACCAAGTTTTCTCGGTTCGGAACAAGGCTGTGGAGCCGATGGCTTGGGGGAGGCTTCTTTGTGGAGAACGCGCTGTTGGAGTTGCACTGTGGGTGTACTAAAACTTGCACGTGAGTCCTTTCGATGCTGCCCAGGTGGCCCACTGCATTTTTGGAGTAATGTTCACCGCGAGTACCCATGCGACATCTCGATCTTGTTTCAGCACCCGTTGCATTTTCTATCTGATGCCGCTAGCACGGCCATCTGCATCTCTTTCACACGCGTCTAACTGGTGTGATGATGCAAGCAGTAGACGGATTCCAACGCACATGCATACACTTTCGATTCGAAGGTGTTCAGAGTCATTCAAGGTCCATTGTAAACTTGGGATGACTAGTTATCATAATTATGAAGTGGTCTGGCCAACATTTCCGTACTTAAGGCCCCCAAGCCTTACGCTCCGTTTCCATCAACTCATCGATCGGTGCTGTCAAGCTTACTGGTCGCATCACTCCGTTCAGGTCCGACGCTGAAATATCTCTACTGTGCGTGTCTAGATACTGGTTGTAGTCAGCTCCGAATGAACTAGTGGTGACCCCCGTTGCGCCCTTCTTCGTAGGAGATGGGGCAGGTGTAGGAGTCGCAGAGATGACTGGCTTTTGCAGTCGCCTTTTCTTGTGTTCTTCTATTATCATCTGCGCTCGGCTTTTGTTCAGTTTCCAGGTAGCCAGATTTCTTGCCGGTAACACCGTCCTCTTGAACATACCTATCCCGGCGATGACAGGCTCCACAAGGCCCATGCCGACGTAAGTATCAGCCTCCCGTACAGGCGCCGGAAAAGAGTTCAAGAGCCCTTGCGTTTCGTCCTCATTCTCCGTTGTATCGTAGATGGGTCGTTTCAAAGGATCAGTGGACGCTGTTACAAAGTCGCCGAAGTCTTCGTCCTTCAGGTTATTGGGCTTGCACTGGGAAGTACCTGGCTGAAAAGAAGATTCATTCGTTGGGGGCAAAGCTGTCTCTGAAACAGAAGACGGGCTTAGCCTGGGTACAGCAAGTGCGCGATTATCTTCCCAGGCGTTCTGAACAGATTCAGCTTCAGTCGCCGCGTCCAGATTTCGCGCAACACCCATGAAAGAATTGACGTGATTTGACGACATGGCGTTTGAATGAGTTCTCTAGTTGAGTGATTGAGAACTCTAATACCCAAAGGTTGGAAGGAAGCTTCTGCTTGGATGTTGCGATATTTGGTTCACGTTGCTGACCATTGTGAATACTAACAAACAACGTGCCATGGCTCTTGAAGCCCCAAAGTGAATACATAAAGCATTTAGGCATTATATGATGAGATGGTATCAACCCGAGAATCGCTGGAAATGCGCATCTGGCGCGAAGACGAAATGCTTTTCCTAGGTCGTTAAGACGCGAACTCCACATCCTAACGCTGAACGCCAATAGTGTGACCATGCTAGAGGTATCATACGCGCATAGCTTCTCTCGCAGCGGGCTCTCTCTCCATCTCGTATTCGATCTCGCGTCTCGGACCTTTTGAGTCCTTCGAGGGCTTCTTCTTGGGCTTGGGTGGTGGGCCAGCAGGACGCTTGCGCTTGAGATTTGCGAGCGTCTTTTTGAGAGCCTCTGTGTCCTCATCTGCAGACTCATCCTCCTCATCTTCTTCGCTGCCGCTACCGCTCTCGTCGTCTTCGTCACCTGAGCCTTCATCAGGACTCTGTCCGCCTATCCAGTCTTCAAAGTCCTCCATCTCGTCGTCGGATTCGCCCTCAATGTCGCTCACGTATTCGACTTCGCCCACACCGTTCTCCATCTCGTGTTCGTATTCGTTCTCGTCTTCCTCCTCAATGCCTTCGTCCAGATCCTCGTCGCCCTTGAGCTGGCCCTCTTTCTGCAGGCCGCGCATGACACGCTTCCAGACATTTGGTTCAACGTTGATCCTGTCTTGCAGTTAGTCTCAAACTCATACAGGAACTGAGTAAATGCTTGACAGTGTGACGGTGCTCATTAAAAAATTAGAGTGTTGTTGTTGTTTTTGATCCTCATCGAAGGATCTCAGGGTTAAAAAGCGAATAATCATGGCAGCAGTGGGGAGAGGGGAATGAACGTACGGTCGATCACCGTATGCGCCACTGCGCAGACGGTCGATGAGCACTCGCTCGATGGCGCGCTCGACCTTGGCGGCTGCGAGAGCTTTACGCTCACGGCCTTCCTCTCGTCGGCGGACCTTGGGTGCCAGTCTAGGAACTAGGCGCTCTCCTAGACGCTCTTCTTCCTTGGCCAGTTTCCGTATCCTTATGTTGACTTGAGTAAGACGAGTCAAGCGCTGCTTGTTCTTGTGCTTAAGAAACTTGGGAAAGTATGCGAGGTGCTGGTCGACCATCTCGAGCGCTTGGCTATAGTTCTTGGGAAGCTTTATCTTTTCCCACCATTGCGACGGAAGATGTGCGCGTTCGATGGCTTTGATGTATAGGTACAACTCGCCGGTCGCGGGATCTGAGCGAATCGTGGCATAGCGTGAGTTCGCGAGGGGGCACGACTGCTTGGAGCAGTAACCTGATACGTTGTGTTCGTTTCTGCAGAAAGTTTGGTCTTTAGTGGTTTTGAGTTCTGAGTAGATAAGGTCAGCATTGTCTTGTTTGCATGTATACAGAGGTTCACATACTGAAGCTGCAGAAGTCGGTGCCAATAACGGACCATACAAGATCGTCAGAGGCCATGGCGGCAATGAAGTCCTTCCGCGGACGCACGTAAACACAGAAGCGAGGATCCCTTCAACAATAGTCTTTCAGCGCGGCGAAAAGCGAACAGAGGGCCCTTCGGGATATCGTGTGTGCGTTTTGGCGCGAAGGGAACAGGTGTTGTAGTAGCAAAGTAGACATGCGACGATCTCAAGAAATTATTATCTTAGCGCATGCACGGGCCACTGCGGAGGTGCAGCGGAGCTACCATGAATTCCAGATGCGACAACGATGTAAACCTCAACTGGCGGAATGAGAGCCGTCGTCTCATCTCTCCGTCGCAATTCTTCCAATCAACTGAGGGCGCATTGTTTTCCAATCCGCGCCGTACTCCATTCGACCCATATCGCGCAAATCGCATCGCTCCACCATGAACCCCTCCATGTGCAGCGCGCCTTGACGACATCGCGGCCGCGTCTGTACCATACAGATGGCAAGGAACCGACGATATATGCGCTTTCTACTGCCAGTGGAAGGGCAGCAATAGCTGTCATTCGTGCCTCGGGTCCGGCATGTAGGCAGGTCTGCACCTCCCACCCCATGATCGATTCCCTTCCTTACGCTTTGTAGATATACGAAGGGCTATGTCCCTCTACAGCATTTCCGAAGCCTCGCCAGGCGACCCTACGCAAGCTATATACCCCACATGTCCCCCCTTCGCCCGCAACGATACTCGACTCTGGCGCCCTCGTACTCTACTTTCCCGCGCCCAATACCGTAACCGGAGAAGACGTGCTCGAACTGCACGTGCATGGCGGCCCGGCTATCGTACGCGCAGTACTGTCAGCCATACCTGAATGCGCGAACATACCCAAAGTTCGCACGTCGAAGCGCAAGGAGATCCGCTATGCTGAGCCTGGGGAGTTCACACGGCGCGCTTTCGCCAACGACCGAATGGATCTTCCCCAGATCGAATCGCTAGGAGAGACACTGTCTGCCTCGACTGAGCAGCAACGCAAGATCTCAGTGAGGGGCACAACCTCCTCACTGGCAACACGATACGAGCACTGGCGCATGCTGCTGCTGCAGGCCCGGGGCGAGCTGGAGGCCTTGATCGATTTCTCCGAAGACCAACACTTTGACGAATCACCTGCTGTGCTATGCGCCTCCGTCGCATCTCAAGTCCGTGCCTTGCAGGTGCAGATGGAGGCGCACGTTGCCAACGCCGTTCGTGGAGAGATGCTGCGCAATGGCATTAGCGTTGCGCTTCTCGGTGCACCTAACGCAGGCAAGAGCAGTTTGCTGAATCGCATTGTTGGACGAGATGCCGCCATCGTGTCCGAAGAAGCTGGCACAACGCGCGACGTGGTTGAGATCGGATTGGATCTGGGTGGGTGGCTTGTCAAGATTGGAGACATGGCCGGCCTTCGCCAGGCTGGTGTCGCAGGTGCGACCGTCGTTGGGGCCGTTGAACAGGAAGGCATCAAGCGCGCAAAGCAACGAGCACTCGAGTCAGACGTGCTGATTGTCGTTCAAGACGCCACAGCCGAGATGGATCCTGAGGTTATGGCGACGGCAAAGCAGTGCGCTGATGTCGGCATCGAGGTCATCGTTGCTCTCAACAAGCGCGACCAACTTTACACGTTCGATATCTCGCGGGAGAAATGGGAAGAAAAGATACACTCCGCCCTGGGCCTCTCTAAAGACCGCCTGTGCTTCATTACATGCAAGCCACCCACAGGGCCGATACCTTGTCCAACTAGCGACAACATTCCGGAATTCCTCACTATCTTGCAGGATACTTTCAAGTCTATGACAGCCGCGTTAGTTCCTGACTCGGATCCCGATCCAAGCATTTGGCAAGAGTCATTAGGCGCAACCGAGCGTCAACGTCTTCTTCTCTCCGAATGTCTCAGCCACCTTTCCGCCTTCCTCACAACCGTAACCGAGCCCTCGGCCGATACAGCCAGAACCGGTGAGGAACTACCAGGCGAGGCCGACGAGGTCGATATTGTGGTCGCTGCAGAGTGCCTTCGCTCCGCCGCCGACGCATTGGCCCGCATCACAGGCCGGGGTGACAGCGGCGACGTGGAAGAAGTGTTGGGGGTCGTTTTCGAAAAGTAAGTGACTCTAGCCTGTATCTCGTGCCTTCATGTCGTGTCACGTTCTAGAATCTTTGGCAAGGCGTTCTACACTTTGGCCCCCATTTGAGTCAGACGGTTGCATCCGAGAGGGGGCCAAGCGGGCGTTGCTGGGGAAAGCCACAATGGTAATAGCAGGATGTGTCTGTGCAGTATCGATTGCTGCATAGGGCGTCTGGATAACCGAACTCTTTCCCCATGATGCTTGCCGGCTTACGCTCAGCTGCGGCCGCGAAAGATCACGTGACGAACCTTTGCTGACGTCAACCTTCTTACAGATTCTGTGTTGGAAAGTAGCGAACTCAGTCGCGGTACTGGCGGTACTTCGTATCACAGCTTGCGGGGACGATTTGTAGTGTGGGAAGAGGATACCGTCAAGGTATCAATTGTCTATTCTAGTCAAAGCAGAAGTGATGAAGCTCTACTACCAAACCTGCTGGTCGTTCAAAATGCAAAAACGCTGTAAACAGTGGTATCGGGAAAAAGGAGATCTTGATTGAGGAGAAAAGCAGAGAAACCCAAAGCAAACTCGAAAACAATACGCCCAACGCCAAAAAACTCCGTCTAGAAACAGTACCCAGGTCCGTTACCCATCGCTCAATGAAGAGCTTATCCCAGCCTTTCCAAACGCCTCAAAATGCCGTGACATACAATTTCCATGATTTCGTAGCCCATAGTTCATAGCCTGTGTCCAGGTCCAAAGACTCCGACGCTCGCTAATGCCGATTCAAAACAAGAAAATGAGGATGAAGATGAAGATAAAGGATAGAAAGAGGAGATGTTGGTACAGGTTAAGAATGTGTGATGATACAGAGATGAAAGAAATATGAAGCGGAAGGAAGAAGTAGATGGCCGAGGCCTAAGAAGTCAGAGATGGCCTCCATCGTTCGAGGCGTCTCTTGCGGAGTGTTCGGGTGGCCGGAAGTGGCGGGAAGTAGAGTGTGATGGTGTGAGGCGTAGCCATGGTGAACCACGCCGCAAGGGTGCTGATGGATGTTTCGGATTGCGGGATTGCGGGAGCAGCCGTTGTGCTTAGTTGTAGCCTCCGCGACCCATGTTGGCCGATTCTTCCTGGGTGTTTGGTGGTGACATTGTGATTGATCTGTTTGTTCGACTTTGAAATTGGTTGACGTGCAGACTTGATGAACAAAGAGCCGGGTCTTTGGTATTGAGATGAATGCACAGGTCTTAGTTGTAGCCGCCGCGACCCATCGGGTAGTGTCTTGAAGATGGTGTAGTTGTAGATGTGTAGTCTCAGAGTGAAACAATGCTGTTCCTGACGAAGACACTGTGCGTGGGGTATATAGCAGGAAGACGCGGATGAAACAATGGAACAATAGTCGAAGACGGAAGAAGATGGTGTGGAAGGATGCTGAATGAGTGAAACTTTTGACTCAAAGGGAAGAAGCGACTCGACTTATATGAAACAAGAGGCCGACAAAGACACCAGAAAATGCAGGAAAGCGGACTAGGAAAGGACGAGGGAAGAAAAGGGCGCTCGGGTATGGTGACTGGGACGGATCGGAAACTGTTACTTGCTCTGCTTGCCTGCTTTCCCATGGTCCAGGCATCCAAACCGTCTTTATACCGCACAGTTCACCTACCTGTTCCCTCCTACACCACCAACCAGAACGGCGGGAACTGGTGGCGGACGGACCCTGGTTCAAGCCACGAACAAGGCATCTAGTCATCATTTCCTCTTACTCGCCGGACGACTGCGCAGCACGCGAAGCCGTCTGCTTGGGTAGACAGGAATAAGTTTCAGGGTCTGTGGGTGGGTGCGTGGCAGTGAGAGGGGGACCTGTGCTCGCGGGTGGGAAACTGGAGCCGCAATGCAGCGCACGCGCCAGGTGGATAAGATGGGCGTGCAGCAGCGTGCGCGGCTGATGGCATCCCTGCTGCTGATTACATGGAACCATGCGGAAACTGTGCGACACAGGTGTTCATTGGTGACTTTATGGGAATGCGATTGCAAAGCAGAGGGAATTTCAGTCCTCGTGCATCGTGCTATGACGAAGAAGGTGTGTTTCTGCATTGACGACGCATGTCTGCCTAGCTTATACACCCCTTCCATCAGGATACATGTGTCTTCTTCTTCACCACCACCACCACCACCAACAACACCCCACGCCGTTAGGTACAATCTGAATGCTTGCAGCACACGCCAAGGTACTTCCTCGACAAGCGCGGGTCGTTTTGCCATTGGCCTGCTGCCGTAACGCACGACACAGTCATACAACATCATCACCGACAAGCATCTTTCCCTACGCCAGACTGCGTACCTGCGCAGTGCACTCACACCAGGTCGCAAGAACCTCTTCGAGGCAATTCATCGTTTCCCGTCGGTCGCGCATTCGGGCGACTTGCAGTTTCGAGTCAATTATCGTGCTCGTCACACTGTTACTCATCCATCGCGATCCCCCGACGATTGCTGTGCTGCATCTCGCTTGGACGGGGCCGTTTTCCGTGGACCGCCGGCGAGGGCAATGCTGGGCGTGCAACACGAATGCCTGCAAGCCATGTGCGAGCGCAAACTCCTTCTGGGCAGCGTTGCAACCTGCTGTTCCACATTTGGAGGCCGCCCCGTGGGCTTGGGTCGTCTGAAGCAGCGAATAGGGCTGCGTAGGTGGCCAAGATGCTGTTTCGAGCCCACCGGGGGATACAGTGCATGGCAGTGCGTTTGAGCCTTACCCGCCCATATGCCTGCTACGTCGCGCGGGGGAACTCTACACCCATGCCCGACCGTTGGTGCCTGGAAGCTGGAAATGGCGTTGAGTTTGGAGCAATGTGTACGCGGCAGTCGCCGACGTGTGCAGCCCGATCATGACACGGTATGAGTCTTCCGGTACTACTACTTTCAGCGCACAATACCCGGCTAGAAGCACTCCAAGGCCTTTATTGCGATAATGCACAGTGGTTGTGCCTTGGTTTGGTTTAGCTGCCGCTGCCATACACCAAGTTGGTCGGAAACGCCTCCGAGATGGTATACGTCGATGCAGGAACAGAGTTCGCGCAATGCGGTACGTGGGCTGAAGACGAGGGTTGTGTGCACCAGGGCTGTGAAGCAACCTTGGAACGAGTGAGCGGCGACCGTACGACTAGTTCCTTCTTGGGTGTTATCGCGACTGGCTGATCCGAATTTCCGTCAACCTTCACTCTGCTCCCGCACAGACAGTAGCCACTGCAAATCATATCAACCCAGCATTCGGACAGCGACATACCCGAAGACGCCCAGAAGCTTGACCAAGCCTCAATCAGCCTTATCCGTATACTGGTACGTCCTATCAGGACAGATCCTATACCGTTTGGAAGCAACAAATGCAAGACTTGGCCAATACAACTTGCATAGACGCTCACGTTCTTTCGGCTTCCCGTTCCACTCGGCATCGGGACAAGCGCCACACTCGCGTGACGGAAGCAGGAAGGATGTAAACGGGCGAGTATGCGTCACGGCATCCCGGCAACGTGGATAAGAAGTTATGATGCATTGCGGCAGCGCAAACCCCTGGCACTATCTATGGACTCCGATTACGATCGGTACCCAGGGGAGCGGGAGCCGGTGATGAATGGATCACCGAAGCAGATGAATGCGATTTACCGAAGCACAAGGCTGAATGGCAGGCATACTCGATCGTACAGCACGCGTGCTTTATCGCTATCGATTAACGAGCCAGACGATTGGCGGACGCCTCGGAAACATACGCCTCGGAAACATATGAGGTTACATCGGAGGACGACACTGGCAGTATTGGCGACAGAGGGCTATACAACACACCCGCAACAACATTGCACACATCGCCGACTTTCCTCTCTCACATGAAGACGCATACATCGCCGACACGAAGCTCTACGCGCCCACCTCGCAACATGTCTACTCGGCTTGACTCTTGAATACAAGAATATCTGCAGATTCGCTTCCACCTACACAGCCCCCCAAAAATAGGACTCCATACCATACCGATCTTGCACTCCTGCACTCTTCAAACAAGCGCGACAACCGCTTGTAGGGCTGACTGAGCCGTCATGTCAGCGCATTCACCCGATTAGGTATTTCCGCGTAGCTGTCGAGCCGAGCTAGCTCATTGGCTGGACCTGCAGTAGCACGGATGTATTTTGGGACAGATGTCAGCTGAAGCCATCTTGCCTATCTGAGGGTATTTGGGAAGAATTAAGTCAGATGAAGAGCGGATTTGGGTTATTTTGGGGCCTAGAAAGTACTGGATCGGGATGTCACATGTGGATTACGAATCCTCTATCGACATTCAGTGAAGAGCGAAGAAGTAAAACTCATCGGTGTTGTAGGAACTCAGCTTACGATCTCGGACATAGAACAGCGCACGATGCTAACACGTACTCGCTTTGGTAAGGAGATGTCGGAGTTGCACTAACCAAATACCTAGGTATCCGTCTCACTGTACTGATTCTGGTTCAGCATCGCAAACAACCAATCTTCCTCTTGGACTAGGAAAGAATCTTCATCGTGCTTCTCAGCATTTGGTACCGCGTCCTCACATGCGCACCTACGGAGTTCCGGTGTGACGCAGTTTCAAATGAATGCGACGAGCGACTACTTTCCAGTAAGTATCCATTCTCAACAAGAATGTGGACGTCGAGCGTCTTTGTGAAGCATACCCGAAATACTGGTTTTATAATTCAGCCCCATGGTAAGAAGGTTATCAAATTAGAGACTCTTCGAGAGACGATGCACACGCCCTACGTAATTTGGTGGCTTGGTGCCAGCGCAGCCCTACACAACAGTCCACTAGGCGAAGGACAACGACGCGAGAAACTACTCAGTACCCAGGATATCCTTTGTTCTGGCCTTACAAACGAAGCGGTGACTGGCTTTAAGTTCACGGCTGTTCCCGAGATAGCGGATGATTACGTTGCTGCTGCGGAGAAGACTTGGCATTGTGTGGTTCGGGCCTTCACGATGTAGCCCGCAAGGTAGGAGTGACTGCTGCAAAATCGACCCCCCAAAAAGCACATAGCCACGTCGCACGTCAAAGCCATTCATCCAGGTCGGTCCTTTGCGCGTTCGAAGAAACCTGCTGTCGCTCCAACGCGCTCAGGCCAACGCATCATCATCATCACCGATCCAACTGGGCAGACCTCCAGCAGTCGACAAAACACCAGGATATTACGGATATCGGCAATCACTATGCGACGTTCCTGCCTTTCATAGTCCACTGCGACGAAATTGCTGCGCCACTTGTTTGCGCCACGCGTCCTGGCAGGGATTGATGATCTCATGCCCAAGCGAATGCGCTAAGAAACCAGTGATCTGCACGGCTATGCGGCCTGCACAGTACTAGCCACACTGTCTTTGGAGACAAGAAACATGCGTGACTGACGAGGCCAGGGAGGGCAAACCCCAGGAACATGATCATGGTTGTTCTTGGATGCCAAGGCTAGCTACGCAATGGTCGTGGCTGACGTTTGCTGTCACGTCTGTTGACCAAGCAAGGCACAGTCGTAGGTGCCGGGTGTATATATACTGGCAGCTTGAAGTCAATACATTCCACATCCACAGCTTCATAATACTCCGAGTACTGCTTCTTACCAGTATCGCACTTGATATCTTGACTGCAAGTTCCGATACCCACACTTACCGCCAACATGCTCTTCACACGTCTCCTCTCGATCATCCTGCGCACAGCGCAATGGGTCTTCGCTGCCATCGTCCTCGGTCTCACAGCATACTTCCTCTACCAACGTTCTCGATACGATCAGGGGCCTCTAGGCCGATTGATCTTCTCAGTGATCTGGTCTTCGTTGTCCATCCTCTTCGCTGTCATCTGGGCCATCCCCACAAGCTCTAGCATCACTGGCTACACATCCGACTTCAGTACGTCCTCTCAGCCCCATTACCATGACCCTTTCATCTACTAACAACTCCTGCTTAGTCTTCACCGCCGGTTGGGCCGCTGTCTTCGGACTCCTCGTCAGCTGGTTCAACGGCTCTGGATGTGGTAGCGCGTGGGCTTGGGGCGGCGTGTCTTTCCGTCGCGACAACTCTTGTGGTCAATGGCAGGCTGCTCAGGCTTTCTCGTTCTTGTCTATGATCCTTTGGTTCGCGACTGGCGTGCTTGGTATCTTGACGGTGCACCGTCTTAACCGCAAGGCTGCTGCGTAAGTTTTGTGCTAGTGTTCTGTGGGGATTGCGCTAACGGGAATGCAGTCGTGGCTCGCACGTCTAAACGCGATTGCCTTACCTACGAGGGTTGATCGACCAGTACCATAATTTTGCCATACGAAAACAGCTTGCACGAACGAGATGCCGCTGTTCGGCGGTGGGCTTTGGGTTGGGCTGTCGGAAACAGTATCAGGATGATTTGCTAGCAACTTTGCTCGAAACTCCCTCTTCTTATGAACTAATGTCTATATCCCAGCGAGCGAGGAGTTATTCTGCTTTTGTTTCCTTTGTTTAATCTTAAATCCTTGCCTGTACAATGTTGGCATTTGCCTTTACCAAGTAATAATCTACATGCATACTACAACGGAGTACAATGCAACCGTGAAAACTCTCCGACATGTTCTGCATACATTTTTGGCGCTTACTGCGTTGAAGTCGAGGCAAGATGTTGTTGCTCTTTGTAATTAACCTGACTTGGCGGTAGCAGCCAACTCGAACTTCAGTGATCATGAGTGCAATATAGCTAGAGCCTCTATTTGTCTCCTGATGCAAGTCTTGCAATCATGAATTGAAGTAGCGACATGTCAACGTATTTCAAGACCACGTAGCTCGCCTCGACACAAAGGGAGATCTTCACAAGTCAATTCACAGCAGCAAGAGAGCCGCATTCACTTAACAAGAACTAGTCTATGATCTAGCGTGAAGGGGAGTGAGAGCTCATTGTAAACCCGTTTTCTCTAGATCGCGGGCAGCCTCTCTCTCCCACGTCGATAAAATGGTACGCCCCTCATCGACTTTACTACACCATCGATTACCCACTACCATTAAATATCAACTCAACACGATCTATCAGCGCTCGAGATCCAGCCTCAGGATCAACACCCTGATGCAATTCAATCCCACGAACATCGTTCCACCCACCATGTCTGAGGATAGCCCCCGAACCAGTAAGATGGGCCAAGTCTTCACGGGCATCCATCGTCGGCTTTCCAGCTTCGGAAACTCCACAAGACCGGCCAAGGCCGCCACCGAGACGTTGTCGGCGATCGCGGACGAAGCCTTTTCTTCCCATTCGTCGTCACAATTCAGCTCGGTCAAGAGCGCTCCCCAACGTCGAAACGATCAGCGTGACACTCGGCTCCTTTCCCTGAACAAGCTTATGAGCGGTACCATGATAGCCGAGAAGAACAAGCTCTGGTTCGAGAAGCTCAACGTCGCCGTCAGAACTCTGATGAACTCATCAGACTATGACCCTTCACACGATTACGAGCATATCCAACGAGTCGTTCTCAACGCGCACCGCATCTGGAGCGCGGAGAAGCATCGCGAAGAGTTCCGCAACATCGACCCTCTAGTCATCTACGTCGCGGCTCTGGTACACGATGTCGCGGATGACAAGTACCTGACCGATGAATTGACGGTCGAGCTACAGAGGGAGGTGACAGACCAGGACAAACAGGTGCGGCAGAGAGACGCCATCGAAGCATTCATCAAAAAAGCTGCCCCAGAATGCCCACCCTACATTTGGGGCCCTGCGACACACATTGCGTCTCTGGTCTCTTTCACGCGTGAACTGCGCAAACCCGAACTCATTGCTCAACAGTGCATCGCGTACCCTGCTCTCCAGATTGTCCAAGATGCCGATCGTCTTGATGGCCTAGGTGCGTTGGGTATTGTACGTGGTGCAGTGTACGGGGGCGCAAATCAGCCGCGTGGTACTGGTACGGTCCGACGGGTCTGCCAGATAGTTGACGAGCGTCATTCTCAGTATGTAGAGATGATGAAGACCCGTACGGGTAAGAAGGAAGCGAGCAAGCGCTGGGACGCGATGGAGGAAATACGCGATCAGATTGTGCAGCAGGCAGACTGCAGGAGCGTGCTGGAAGAGAACTGAGCCTGGGAAAAAGAGGGCGGATGGGAAGATACGCGCATAGAATATGAGTAGATGCTTTCCGTTTCAGCGAAAGTTGTCTTTGGTATCGTCGCGTTCTTCCTAGTGTAATGTAGCAAAACAAGTGAATTATACTTTTAAAAATACGAATTACGTTCGTTCATAGGAGTAATGGCCGGTAAAAGCATTTACAACTTAGACGATTAACGAAAATAATGATGCAGAACGAGAAGCTTTACTGTCAGTCTTGTGCATGGAGGGTGTACCTCGCTTCGAGGGGCACTGCTTTCAGCTATTGCATCGATCGACGACCACTACCTGTCTGAAGCTTTATCCACGCCGAGAAACCGAGCTTGTCTGTTTGCCACACAATTATGAGGATGTTTGTGGATAATTGCGAAGACTATGCGAGAGTGAAAGCGCATCGTTGGTGATGGTCCGCGATCCGGCGTTCACGCTAGTCACCCAAAGTAGACTAGCGCCTCGCTTGAAGCACACCTGCCGTCTCTAATTCTCAGCTCACAAGCAGCACCTCGAACTTTCAGACTCCGACCAGCTCGACATCACGCCGCCAAAATGTCCGCCAACTCGCTGAACAAGATCGCGCCCAACAGCCCCTCGAGGCAGAACCCCTCTGAGATCGAGACCAGCATCGCCAGCGCAAGTTCACCGGTCAATTGCACACTGGCGACCACGGCTAACATTTGTCATAGGCGTTGACTGACCTCGAGAACAACGTCCCCGACCTGAAGGCTTCTCTGCGCCCTCTCCAGTTCGTCTCTGCTCGCGAGGTATGAAAACCCGAACACCACGATGCGCTCTCGAGCGTCGCCTACACACACACACCTACACCCATACCCTATAACTGAAGAGGCGGTGGGCACTGGGCAGCAACATCATGCTGACACCAGGATTCTTAGATCGAGGTTGGCCACGGACGCAAGGCTATTGTCATCTTCGTCCCTGTCCCCCTTCTGTCCGGATGGCACAAGGCCCAGCAGCGGTATGTTGTGCTCTCGAATCGATGCAATTCGCGTACTAACGGTCCTCAGTCTCACCCGTGAGCTCGAGAAGAAGTTCTCCGACCGCCACGTCCTGATCGTTGCTTCCCGCCGCATCCTTCCCCGCCCCAAGCGCTCCAACCGCTCGCGCACCACCCAGACCCAGAAGCGTCCCCAATCCCGGACTCTCACCGCTGTACACGACGCCATCCTGACCGACCTCGTCTACCCCGTCGAGATTGTCGGCAAGCGTCTCCGTACCCGCGAGGACGGCAGCAAGATCCTCAAGGTTGTCCTTGACGAGAAGGAGCGCGGCGGTGTTGACTACAGGCTCGACACCTACAGCGAGGTGTACAAGCGCCTTACTGGCAAGGGCGTCAACTTCGAGTTCCCCCAGAGCCAGCAGACCGACTACTAGATATAGGCGGTTCGTTGGGTTTGGTCGATCTCGTTAAATCTTCATGGGTCAGGAGTACGGCAGGGCTTCGGTTATGCGTCATGTACCGGCATCAAAAAGGAATGAGAATGAGATGACATGAGCCTGTATTAGGCACCCCTTCAAGATACCATTTGCAATTGATTTCTATTACTGTTCGTGATGGCCTTCTTTGCCCTGACCATGGTACTATCTACTGCCTGTCCAGCTCAGGGTAATGCCTGAACACACCCATGCTGAATGGCTTCCGTCTCTCGCTCCCGAGGTACTCCTTGATCCCCTTGGCCTCCTTGACACTATCATAGAAGGCCCCGAACAAGGTCGGGTAGTCCTTCTTCCTCGCTGCTATTTCCTTTGGGAATGCAAACTCCAGTCCACTCAGCACATGCCAGACGGTAGTATCAGCATAGCTTAGACTATCCCCAACAAGAAACTTGCCCTGTCCCTGCGCCTCGTTGCCCTTGAGCACGCGCTCGAAGAAGCCCAGAAACTTGGGAATGCGGTTCTCGCGGAAGTCTGTCGCCTTCTTCACCGACTCGTCCTTCTGATCCTCGTAGTATTTCGCAACCGCGATGGGGTGGTGCGTGTCGTGGGCTTCGTTGTTGAGGTCCAGCGCCGTTAGCGTGTGCGAGAGGATCCACGCCTTCTCTGCCTCGTCTGCGCCGCCGAGGCCGAGCTTATCACCGAGGTAGGCGAGGATGGAGGGTGTCTGGTAGATCAACAGCGCCGCGCCGTTCTTGCCCTCGCCCGGGATGCGCAGGGCGGGTGGGGCGAAGGTGGGTGGGTTGCCGTCGGAGCCTGTGGACGATTGGTCCGTGAGGGAGCTGATGACTTTCATGCCTGAAGGGGTTGTTAGCTATACAGGTATATGATGCGATTGAAGCGCAAGGTGCGTACCATCTTCCGACTCATTGGCGACGTCCTTGTAGGAGACGCCCGCTGCTTCGAACGCCAGGCGGATGAACTCTCCACGTCCTGGGATACCGGGCCAGTACAGCAACTCATATGGAGGCTGGGTGCGCGCTTTCTTGGTCGCAGACATGGTGGTAATGTAGTATCGAAGCGCAGTTGGACTTTGAGTGTGGTGTTTGGAGAGCTGTAGGAAGCTATGGGGGCTAAGGAGAGGTCGAAAGGTGGTGCGAAGCATGCGGTTGCAATGGCTGCCTTGTCAGTCCACTATAACTAGGGGAACAGAGCACCATGTCAGGTTGACGTGCCATTGCCGCTCGGCGTGCTCTATGCAGCGTGTTTGGCGTCATTGTGGGGTTGTGGTTGGACTGCGAGATCGTAGATGCTGACATCAGATGCGGAATTGCGCCGAGACCGAGCAATGCGAGGACATCAGATGCAAGTCAACCTGCCAGCTGGCTTGAAGTTGTCGTGGTCACTTCACAGCAATGCCGAGTTTAGTCACTGAGATAGGATCAATTAGCTGGCCTGTTCGTCGCTGCTGATGTCTCGCTACCTAGGTGCAGGCTCTCGGAACAGGTTCCGAAAATTGGGGGAGCTCAGCCTTCGTTCAGCAGCGGCTGAGCAGGAGGGAGGCACAAGCGAACATGTACCAGGCGATCTACATACTGAACTTGTGGGTCAATTGAAATACAGTTTCGGCTCATGGACCGTACTCATTTGTTGTGCGATACCGATTGTTGGAAACGGTCATATTGCCTATCTCGCTGCTGTATTCGCTGACAGAATGCTACCTGATAATTAATGAGGGCACCAGTAATGGTTCTACGAGCTCCATAACAATCTCCCATTATCATGCCATCGGGCTGTGTGCTGTCAATAATGTTTCGTGTTACAGAAGGGGGCAGAAGGCGATACGCTCGCCTGTACCCCCAATGGCCCACCGCAGCAGCTCTCATGCACGAAGAGAGCTGCGCCATGTTGCGAGGAACGAAACGTTTGCTACAAATCTACCAACACCACAGATACAAATCTTGAGGAGATTCTAGGCGCGCCACGTCTCTGCTTATCCAAATCTGTGTCTCGGTTTCAGTCCCGTTAGATCGCAACTTCCAGGAGGAATAGCCTGGAGACGTGATCGGCCGCCCTACACCGTTCAGGTCTAGACTTCCCGCCCGGACCCTCTTCCACGCCCGCTAAGTTCATCACCCAGGAGTGCTGCCTTCAGCTCATCCTACCCGCACCGAACCACGGTTGGACAATCTGTTGTTCGCCATAACAATTTCGCCACTATGTCGAGCTACAATGAATACGATCGACTCATTCATCAGATGCAATCATTTCGCGCGTCTGATGAGGCCAGAGAGCAGTTTGTTACAGTACGTGTCGCTGAGTCGCGTGTGCGGCCGCGCGACAAACACTAATCAATCAATAGGAAATTCTAGCAAAGTATCGCGAATTGTCCGAAGAGCACGCCAACTTGAAGAATGACTATTTGAGTGAAAGAGATATCAGGAGGAATTATCAGAGGACTGTGGATGAGAAGCAGGCTTTGGTGGGAGATTACACACGTCAGCTGGTGCGTTACCCGCTGTTATGTCAGCCTTGCCAATTCGCGTGCTGACTTTGGCTACAGGAAGCAAGTTCATTTGTGTTGGCACTAATTGATGGGGATGGAGCTATCGTAAGTCTTTGCGAGTCCCTGAAGTTCATTATTGTCCTGTGGCGACTTTATATCGATCCCGGCCCACATATGGTTGGCAACATGTACAAGATATGGCGACACGGGCATACAGCCGAAAGAAGTGATTGCTGATTTTGAACATGCAGTTTCAAGATGCTTTACTCCAAGCCGCTGGTGCTGATGGAGGTTCAGAAGCTGCTTCCCTCCTGTATCATGCAATTCGCGACCATGTTGCTTCGTTGTACAACAGTTCAGGCAGCTGGCCCATTATGGTCCAGGTCTATCTAAGTCTCGATAAGCTTGCACAGAAGTTGGCGTCGGTTGGCCTTCTTCGGTCGCCTCAGGATCTACGAGCTTTTGCGCAGCGCTTCAGCGTCAATCAGCCCTTATTTAGTATAATCGACGTCGGTCACGGAAAAGAAAGAGCCGATCACAAGATTAAGGGTATTGCGTCTCTTCTAATCAAACTGACTGATGCTAATAATGACCTGCAGAAATGCTTCGTACCTTTAGCGACAATCCCACCTGCCGTCATATCGTCTTCGGTGGTTGCCACGACGCAGGATACCTACTAAACCTCGAACACTTCAAACACGATGCCGCCAAATCCAGTCGCATCACACTTCTGGAGACCACACCTGCCTACCGCGGCTTCGCGGATTTAGCCAACTTCAAGCGTGCTCGTTTCGACGACGTCTTCAAGAGCGAGCCCCTCCCTGACTACCAGCCTCCAGTGAATGGCTTCGGTCAATTTTCTGTACAGTCGCCAGTACAGGCAGCAGTACAACCACTCCCACGTTCAGTCACGAACAACACCAACACATCATCACCTACGTTCACTCCGAGAGCTTCCGTTGCGTCTCCCTCCCCCAGTGTAACCCCGGTCTCAGCTGCTGCGCCTGGCGAGTCGAATGGCGACTCTTCCTGGGGTAAGAAACGCACCCAGTATCGATTTCGTCAGAAGCATTGCTAATAAGAGACCAGCCACCGTTGGCAAAGCCGGTGCTCCTGAAAATGGCAGCATTTCGATCGCACCTACTACGGCCGCTACTAAGAAAAACACTAAGAAGAAATACGCTTATTACAACAAAGCTGGTCAGAGATTGGATGAGCCACTGCCTCCGAAAGATCCTGCTGCCGCAGCTTCGCTCGAAGCACGCATGAAGAAAGTTGGCAAGAAGATGTGTAATCATTGGTAAGCTGCCACTTTGGAGTGCTGAGACTACGACGAGCAACTTCCAGTGCTTCACTGTTGGTACTGAGACCCGACTAATATACCGTGCAGGCATCTTGGCGGCTACTGCGAGAATGGCAAATTCTGCAATTTCCAACACGAGCCGAAGCTTACACCCGCTGAGCTGAATGCCTTGCGCTACAAGACGCGTAGCTTGGCCTGCAAGAACAAAGGCTGCGAGAACATTGACTGCTGTAAGTACACATGTGGAAGAGGCCCTCACGCGACGATGACTCTCAACCTCGTTGTATCATGGATCTGCGGTAATGCTAACATTACGGCTTCAGATCTGGGTCATCAATGTGCTCTTGAGCGCGACCATGGATATTGTTCATTCCCCGAGAACTGTAAGTACCGTCGACGTTGAAATATACTGGAGTTTTGCTGATTTCTTGTTTCTCCACAGGCCACCTTCGTGCTACGCATGGCATGGATAAGGTCAAATACGTCAGGTACGACAAGGACGACAATGCAGATTACGCTCCCTAGTTGAGTGAGATGAACGAGGATCGTGGCCCAAGGTGTCAGATCAGTCGAAAGTCATGTCGACCACGGAAGTCTCGCGGCGGCCATGTTGTCTAGATAGTACAAAATTGCTAATCATTTTCTCTTGTCTTCGTCAAGCTACTTCCCATTTACTCACTGTTCTACGTGAATCATCTCTTGCAAAGAGAGTCAAGTCGTCCTGTGGTATATCTACTACCAACCTAATGAAGGCTCGCGAGAGCGACCTACGAAGCGATCTCGGCCGAACATAGGCGACTAGAAGATTAGACCCTTGGTTTTCCCCACACTCCACACGAAGACCACGCGAAAGCCAGAAACTGACGAGGCGGATAATATGACGGGACAAGCAATGCTGGTGAATATTGTCCTGCGGCCTTATTCAAGCCGCGGCAGCTGAATTCGGCAGTACGGTAGGGGACTCTTCTAACGTAATCCCTCCACAAAGACACGGGATAGGACCGACTTCTTAGTGAAAATAGTTCATTACGCATGCATTTAAAGATTCTGTATTCACTGATCTTGTCACCCTCAAAACGCTTCTCCCAACATGCCGTTCTTGTACTCCGACACGCAACCAAAGATCCTCATTGCAGGGGCCGGTATCGGCGGACTGACCACCGCGCTAGCACTCCATGCCGCGGGCTTCAGCGACGTTCAGATCTTCGAGACAGCATCAACGCTCACCACACTCGGCGTCGGCATCAACGTTCAACCTTCTGCAGTTCTGATTCTGCGGAATCTGGGTCTGCTCGAGGCCCTGGAAAAGACTGGCATCAAAACGGCAGAGCTGAACTTCTACAATCGTCATGGAGATCCTATTCTGAGCGAGCCAAGAGGAATGAATGCAGGTTACGAAGTGCCTCAATTCTCAATTCATCGTGGAGAGTTCCAGATGTTGCTTCTGAGCGCTGTGAAAGAACGCCTTGGCAACGATGCTCTACATCTGAACCATGCGCTGGCGTCGTTTGATCAAAATGACGAAAGCATCACAGCGCGCTTCGCGCATCGAAGGGATGGTGCCCCAGTAGACGAGTCAAGCGTAACAGGCGATATCTTGATCGCTGCCGATGGCATCAATTCCGCAGCAAGAAGGCTTCTTTACCCCGGCGAAGGCCCACCACGCTTTTCAGGACGCATGCTCTGGCGCGGGTGCATCGAGCGCGACCAGTACCTCACAGGCGCGAGCATGGTGTGGGCAGGTCACGCCGATCAAAAGTTCATCGCATACCCCATCAGCGCACGAGCAGCCGCCAAAGGCAAAAGTTTAGTCAACTGGATTGCAGAGCTACGCACACGCGACAAGGACGACACAGACCTCACACCGCCCAAAACCGACTGGACCAAAGCCGTCAAGAAAGACATTTTCGCAGGGCCCTTCGAGACATGGAGATGTGGCGGCCTTGAAATGAAGGATCTGATCGACAACACAGAGAAAGTCTTCGAATTCCCCATGTCAGATCGCGACCCTGTAGAAGCCTGGTCCTTCGGCCGTCTTACTCTCATGGGCGACGCAGCACACGCCATGTACCCCATCGGTTCAAACGGCGCATCCCAAGCCATCATCGACGCGGAAACGCTCGCTAAACATCTCTCCAGCAACACTTCTGACATTGCAGCCGCGCTGAAGGCATACGAGCAGGAGAGGTTACCGCCCACCGCTAAGATTGTCATGGCGAATCGTGCGAACGGGCCGGATCATGTTTTGCAGCTGGCTGAGGAGAGGGCGCCCGATGGGTTTAAGAATGTGTATGATGTTATTCCTAAGGATGAGCTGGAGGAGATTGGTAGGGTGTATAAGAAGGTTGCAGGATTTGAGATGGAGAGTGTTAATGTGAAGGCGAGGGAGACCGAGGGGGTGCACAGGGAGAAGGGGCTGAAGAGTCCTGCGGATTGGATACAGTGATAGATTTATCAAACGTGTAGCCATAGTATGGCCTGTTGAAGACGTGTATTCTGTATATCTTTGACAAGTGTCAACCCGAGTTCCTTCAATACTTGCACCCCAACTTGTCCAGGCACGTGCTGGGCAGCGATGACGTTCACGCTAGTCTAGTGCGAAGAGCAGCTTCCAACCTTGGAACCGAAAGGAGATGGAACGCTACCCCTACCAACCTCCTCACTTTGGTATCATTAACATTCGTTCATCATTACTTCGTTATTGCTTGCTAAAAACATCTAGTAAACTATCTATGAGCCCTAATGCCGGTGGCAGCGCCATCGCGGCTGTACCAAGGCCCCAAATCTCTTGTTCAGGGCGGTGCACCCCTTCAGCGGTGCCGTCCAAGAGCCAACCCTACCATGATCATGCGCATCACTTTCTCGGCGCCGTCTTCGACCAATACCTCAGTCTGGACGATTGCCTGTTCCAGGGTTACTGGCCCCCTGAGGATGCTCGTGAAGGCTTTGATGCCTGCACCATAACAGCCGTCTGCTCCTTCCCCGATGGTACCAGCTAGTGCAACCACCTGCGCCCCGTTCCGCTTTGCGCGACGAGCAATCTCTGTCGTCATCTGTCTTCGTCAGCGTTCTGATGGAGAAGCAACGATAAAGGATACCTACCTTTCCGTTTGGTGACTGGAAATCCAAAGCGCCCTCCGCCGTAATCACGAAATCCCACTGATTCTCGAAAACCCGGTCGAATTCAAAGTACTCGTTGATGGCTTCGGCGCGGGCACGCAATGTAGCGCCGAGCAACATCAAACCTGCTCCGAGACCTCCACTGGCACCGCTACCCGGGGTCTGAGAGATGTCCTCTCCAAGCGTCGACTGAGCAACCTGCGCCAGCCTTTCAAGCGATGTCGCGAGCATCTCGACCTGAGCAGGCGTAGCTCCCTTCTGCGGCCCATACACTCGCGCGACTCCTTTGGAACCACAGAGCACATTCTTGATGTTGCATACGGCCTCTATCTGGACCTTCTCGACTAAATCAACGTTAAAACTGGGTTCGAAGTGAGACGTGGGTGGCTTACCAGCATTCTTTTGTAGTCGAGGATGCGCATCAGCCCAGCAAATGCTGGCTAGGCGTGCTAACGATCGACCACCGCCGGCCTTGGGTAACTCCTCGCCATCTTCATCAAGTAACCGGACACCGAGCGCCTGGAGCATTCCAGCTCCTCCGTCTGAGGTTCCCGAATCTCCACAGCCAATGATGATCTTTGTGGACCCTGCATCAAGCGCTCTCTTGATAAGCTGTCCCACCCCATAAGTAGTGGTGATCGTTGGGTCGCGTTCATCTTTCGGGACCAAGCGGAGGCCTGCCGCTGCCGCCATGTCCAAAACAGCCGTCTTCTTGTCCTTGCCAATAAAACCAAGGTGCGATTCGACCGCCGATCCAGTAGGGCCGGTGACTGGCACGTCGACGATAGATCCGCCATGGGCCGCTACCAAGGCACGAGCAAACCCTTCTCCACCGTCATGCAGAGGAAGTTTGCGCAGGATAACGGAACTGCGATCGAGCACCTTCCGGATGCCTTCCTCAATCGCATCAGCTACGTGTTCTGGGCCCAGACTCTCTTTAAACCCTGACGGTGCCACGAGGATCCTCAGTGGATGTCCGCCCAGAATGTCTGACGTTGGAGTGGGTAGCACCGCCGATGCCGAGTGCGTGAGGTCGTCTGCTTGCTGTTGCGGCAAGTCGAATGTCTTCAACGAAAGGAGTCGCGTGATCTGCGGTGCGAGTGCTGTCGTTGCGGCTGGAGCAGTGTGGGCACATGGCTCCTTGCTCACTGACACACTGGCAAGCATGTTTGATTCGAAGAGAGTAAAGCTGAGTAGATGATCACGAATAATGCTAATGAGACAGGATGTTGATCGAATGATGTCGAAATCGAAAAGCGAACGTGAGAACGTGGTAATGTAGAGCGAGCGTGCGTCAATCAATATGCCTGATTGGATACCGTCATCATATGGACCTACGACGTCCTTATATCTTGGTCCCAGACTCTGCTCGTCTGGAGTTGCACGCTCTCGCGATAGACCTATGCGACATAGCCCGTAGAGCTATTTCCGGTGCATCACTTGGAAACGCCACCTGAGGTGTTACTTCCAGCCTCAAAACCACGGCATCAACGTCATTGAAGCTGCAAGTACACACACATTCATGAAACATGAATGCCGCACTTCCTAGCTCATGGTATCGTGGCATAGCCGGAAATGACGACTACTATAACACAGCCCTGCTAGCATTCGTACTACCAAGTGTATAGCTCTAAGTCATGGTTGGCTTTTCTTGATATCTTGATTAGTATTAATCCCGCATACCCAAAGTTCTTGACTGACCCACTTTGTTCTTGAGGTCTCGATTTCGGCCAATCGCGGCGATTGCACAAGGCTTCACCAAGCGGTCTAGCGAATAACCAAGCTGTACCTGCTTGGCAAGAAGAACCGAGCACAGCCAGGTAGCTGACGTCTACAAAGAAGGCTGCTGTCGTTGATCAGTCTCCACCGGGAAAAAGCTTACGATCTCGTGGCAGTAGCCGCAACCTCGTCATTGGCTATAGGGGACCTGAGATGTGGTGGCTACCGTGCGCCCACGCGACAGTTTTCTATTCTTGATTAGACCCTCGACAAGGGTCTCACCGTAGCCTTATCAACCTGAAGCTGGGCATCTCGAAGCCATCTTTCTTGGACCATGGCATTCACGCTACACCGGTGATACTGTACTTTGAGGTCATTTGGCAGTATAGTGCTTTTGGTACGGTGAACAGCCTCCTCTTGGTGAGCGCCTCTTTGACACTGCCTCAATTGGTGAGATTTGGCAAGAAGGTCTCGATACTATATGCAGGCGATCTGCCCCTGTAACAAAAAAAGGTACCACTCATCATCACAGTCGCTATCATCACTCTTTGGATTTATCATTCGTTCAAACTCAACGCTCGTTACTTACCATGAACTTCAAAGATAGGTTACTTGGTCGATCTTCCCGAGACGACGGGAGCGCACGCGACTCCTTGGCACTGCCGAGATTTTCGTTCGAAGGGGACGGTCGTTGGCTACTTAGCACGCAGCGTCTGTTCCTGCAGTGGGAGCAAGAAGAGTCAGGGTACGAGGCTGGCCGCGAGAACATGGAGGAGGGCCTTCGTAACGGCGAAGAAATCATTGTAGGTCTCTTGGGTGTCTCATGGCACTGCCACTGACGTGACGTGTAGATCACCTGGGACGGCCCGAACGACCCTAGCAACCCTCTCAACTGGAACAGCAAACGCAAATGGGTAGCTACCATACTTGTGTCGCTGTTCACGTTCATATCGCCATTCTCGTCGACTATGGTAACACCTGTGTTGCCGGACATTGGGGATGACTTTGATATATCGGAAGGCTTTATGCACCAACTGGTCATGACCATATTCCTTCTTGGCTACGCTCAAGGGCCATTTGTACTTGCGCCACTAAGCGAGATCTTCGGGCGCGTTACGGTCTTACAGTATGCCAATCTAGTGTACCTGCTTTTCAACACTTGCTGCGGGTTTGCGCAGACCAAGGAGCAGATGCTTGCTTTTCGGTTTCTTAGCGGTTTAGGCGGAGCTGCACCCCAAGCTGTACGTCGAACCGTTGCACATTCATTGCAAGTCTCACATCATTGATATACATGACTGACGGAAGATAGTTGTGTAACGGCGTCCTTGCTGACACCTGGTCAAAAGAAGAACGTGGAAAAGGCCAGGCCATATACGGCATCCTGACATGGCTGGCACCCTGCGTGGCACCAATCGTCGGCGCATATATATCCACAGGCGCGAATTGGCGCTGGATCTTCTTCGCTACATCCATCTTCACCGTCCTCGTTCAGCTCACTGCACTCTTCTTCCTACGTGAGACGTTTGCACCCGCCATCCTCGGCAAAAAAGCAAAAGCTGTCAGGAAAGCCATGAAGGGTATCCGGAACGATGTGGTTGTGCGGACTGAGTTTGAAACAGGAGATCGCATGAGCAAGATACTGAGGAAGAGGTTAATCCTGCCGTTCATCATGATGTTCACCCATCCCGCGACCCAGGCACCCTCGATCTATCGCGCCTTTCTGTACGGTGTCATGTACTTGATGCTTTCGACGTTCCCGATGGTGTTTGAGGAGGTGTATGATATGGATACGGGGCCTGCGTCGCTCAATTACTTGTCGCTTTGCGTGGGCTTCATGATCGGCTTGCAGATCTCGCATCCGCTTATCGATCGGGTACGTCTATTACGCTCACCTTCCTGATCTTGATGTACAGCGCTGACTTAAGACTAGCTGTATGAACGGATGAAGGCTTACTACAAGCTCACAGAAGGGGTTCCGGAGTTCCGTGTTCCGCCTATGATCATAGCAGGCATCCTCTGCCCCATTGGTCTTTTTATCTATGGTTGGAGGTCAGTCTACTCCACACCTCTCACTATCATTATACTAATCGTACACAGCGCACACAACGCCGTTCACTTCATCGTCCCCAATATCGGTGCCGTCATTATAGCAATCGGCCTTATAATCGGGTTTCAATGCTCTCAAGCCTACACAACCGACGCGTACGAAGCCAATTACGCCGCCTCTGCAGCGAGCGTAGGAGCGTTCATGAGAACTATGTGCGGCTTCAGCTTTCCGCTTTTCGCGCCCAAGATGTACGAGACATTGGGGTTGGGATGGGGAAACAGCTTGTTAGCATTCTTGACTTTGGCAGTGGGGTTAGTAGGGCCTGTGGGACTATGGTTCTATGGGGCTCAGCTAAGGAAGATGAGCTGGAGGGGCTTGGGATAGATCACGGTATGCATGTAGAAGAAAGTTATGTTTTGAGGAATGTATTTGTTGCAACCAAAGTATGACCACGTGAGGAGGTATCCGCAGCACCGGAACACCAAGACACCTACCCCACGAACAACCCAGGAGGTCCTTAGACAGCGCCCGAACATGAAGCCCAGACTCAAAGCAGAATCCAACAGGCCACAACACCCCCTCTAGTCACTCCAGAAGGCCAATCGTACTGAATCCGTCCTATACCTCGCCATCAATGACGACACCCAGATTAGCGGTGCCGCACTGACTGGTATAGTCTCCAACTCTTTCTTCAAGGTCAATATTCTTGCTCCCTCCCGCGGGCCAAGAACCTATGACCACCTCACTCGTCATCAGAGGCATAAGCCTCAGCTATTTCCATCTCGGCCTCCACCGACTCCGCGTTGTGGTACCAGGTCAACCTCTCAACGTCGCCGCGCAATTTTGTGTTCTCAGCCTGAAGATCTTCGTTATCGTCAAGAACCTTCTTCATCTGGTCCTTGACCTCTGTAGTACTGCCCATGAAGAGACCATCTTTGACCTCCTCATATGTGAGCACCCCATCCTTGAAAGCCTTGTTTTTCGAAAGTAGGTTCCACCTTACTCGGAAGTTGTGGCACAGCTTCTGCGATTGTTCCTTCTCCTTTTTGGCGGTTCTCAGCTCCTTTGCAGATGCTAGCATCTCGTTGTCTCTCTTGACCAGGATCTTCTTCCACTCTTCTTTTACATCCTCTCTCAGCCCCTTGTTCTCTTCCTCGTATTGCTCAATTCGATATTTCAACGCCTTGATTTCCGAACTTGCTTGCGAGTTCTTCAAGTCATCAAACTCCTGCTGGCGCTCACGTTTGTGCTCCGCGATCTTCGCGGCGATGACCTTGCCTCGCGAATCGATGGCTTCCTTGAGTTCATCTTTCGCCTTCTGCTCATCCCGTTCTAGATCATCAATCTTGATCTTGAGCTCGACGACTTTGAGGGTGTATCTCTCTTTCTCGGCCTGGACTTCCTTCTTCAATGAGTCGTTGTCATTCTTTAATGAGTCGTTGTCCTTCTTCAGCGCTCCAATCTGCGTTGAAGACGCTGCATCGATGATTGCGGGCTGACCGTGACTCAGAGCCTGGATGCGTGTATCGAGGTTTTGGCATTTGGTCTCCTTAGCCGCGACGTCGTTTTCGAGAGAGACGATGCGCTGTTGCAGAACTGTGATGGTTTGACTGTTGTGCGTCGCGCCCGATTCAAGCTGCTGTATCTTCTGATCACGGCGGTCGATCTCTTGGATGCCTTCTTGATGATATCGGTTGATTAGAATCGCCTGGCTGTCATTTTGGTCGTGTAATTTCTTGATAGACTGGTCTTTCTGCGTCAAGTCCGCCTGATACTGCACGATCGTTGCAGCTGGCGTCCCGTTGTTGCTTCCTACTGCCTGGAGATTTTGCAACTGACTGTACACCGCCTCGCCCTTAGACTTGGCTTCAGTAGTCGCGCTGATGGCCTCATCGCGCTCCTGGGTGATGAGCATGACTTTATTATTCAATGTCTGCACATTGACGTTCAATTTATGAACCTGGTCTCGGAGATCCCTCTCCACAGTGGAAGTAGACGGGGGGTTGATCGCGGGGTTCCTCGCCGACATGCCCAAGACCTGCTGTGAGGCAAGTTTCAGCTTCTTCTCCAGTCCCGCGGACTTTTGGTCTGCCTGAACCAGGGCGTTTCGCAGGTCTGGGTCTCCCAGACAGTTAGCCGTGTTGATGTTTGCCTTCAGTGTGGTCATTTCACTGTTGTGCTTCGCTTTCAGGGCATCGGCGTTGGTGCGATGTTCTCTGCGCAACCTGTCACGCTCCCCGTTCCAGCGCCGTTCGTCGTCTACACCCTGGGTCTTCTTCTGAGCCTGAACTAGCGAAGTCTCGTTCTTGGCTTCGTTGAGCGCCTGCTCTAGGGCAACGACCTTGGTGCGCAGAGGCCGTAGCTCAATGAGCTCAGCCTCTTTCTCTTCGTGCAGCTGGGCGGACTCCTTGACAGCCTCGCCAACGTTGTCAGTGTTGATCATTTTTCGAAGGTTTGTGATTTCTTGTTGCTTGTCTTGAAGCAACTCGTCGAAGGTCCGTACGACTCCAGAAACGTACTGACTGCGCAGTCGGGTCATGATGGTCTCTTTGAGGTCCCTGATCTCCGTTCTTTGGGCCTTGTTGTCCAGTTCCAGGTATTCTAGGCGCTGTTTGTCCGCGATTAGAGTGCTCAGTCTAGCCTCTAACCTGATATTGAGTGTCTTTTGGTCAATTTCGCCTTCGCCAGCTTCAAGGACACCGAGACCTTGAAGTATCGCATCTCGCCCGGGCAGAAGCTTAGCTGACCGCTCAGCCTTGTCGCATCTATGAAGCAGGGTCGCTCGCTCGGCCAGTGCCTTCTCTGCAATTTCCGCGCGGCTTCGCTTCATTGTCTCGTAGGCCACTTGCTTACTCTTCAGCTGTCCTGATAGTCTGATTACCCTTGGCTCACGGTACCACATGAGCGCGATTGCGGCAATAGAGATCATCAGTAAGACGAGGAGGATGGCCGAGAACGCTCTCCATGGGAACCATGTTGCTGAGGTAGACACTGTCGCGGGCATTTGTGTGGTGACTGGAGGGTACGCTTCAGCCTCAGGAGTACTCGGGCTCAGAGTGGCGTCGGGAGTGTAGAGTATCGTCGTGTATGGGGTTGCCGGATCGATGGGGTAGTGTGTCCATTTGGTGAGCCAGTGGTGGTCTACGGAGGTGGACACAGACGTGAGATGTTCAGTCACTGTGGCGAAAATGGTCTTTGGGACCGTGGCTGTTGTGGTGGTGGTGCGCGTCGCAGTTTCTGTTTGGATGATGGTCTTGTAGACCTCATCGGTCAAGGTCTTCGGCTCCGGAAAGAAGGTGGCCGTTTCGGTGACTGTGGTTGCGTTCGCGGCGCCGGCGGGGAGGAACTGCCGTTTTTCGGGTGCGGAATTAGAGTGTGTGACTGGCAGAAGATATGTTTTTATGAGGAGGGACAAGCCGAGCCAGCCGAGACCTTCGTAAGGTGCGACGTCCGACATTGCGTGATGTTTGCTTTGTCGAGCTGGAGTGTCAATTGCAAATAAAACTGGTGTTCGCTAAATTTGTGGTGTAGCGAGTGTTTTGGAGTCAGAGTTTTCGGTCGCAAGGTGGTTGTCAAGGCGATGTCGCACAAGCTGTGTGGGGGGTGTAAAGCGTTTGCAGATGACGTCCAACAAAGGTGCGATTCGTCAGTCCAGTGACAAAGCGCATTAATCTACAAAAGTGAAGGTGACTTCGAACGTAACAATGATGACACTGTGTAACGATAGATGTAGATGCTGGGGTGACGGACAATGAGGAGGCCAACGCACACCAAAGGAAAGGAAGGGCGGCCAACCGGTCGCAACGAGCGCGAAGATGTCTCAGCAGTGTCTCTCGGTGACCATCGATTATCCCAAAGCTCCCAGAACGAGGAAAAGCTTTTCGCTGTTGAGCTTGAAACATATCTTGCGCGCATGGTTAGAGCACAGTGAAAGACAAGTCTAAAGAAGTCCATGCTCGTCCCCATATTCAAGCTTGCACGTGTTTATCGTCGTCTTCTGCAACTCACGCCCACTCATCACTGCAGATAGTATGTGAGTTGTGAAATGCAAAGCCATGACATTGGAAATCGCCTGTAACGACATCACGCCAAGGGGACCGCTGCCGAGTAAGGAGCGCGCACCAGTTTGAGCTTATTCCAATTATTCCAACTCTTGCGCAGCGCTGTATTTTGATGCATCGAAGTGAAAGGCAGGATGGAAATGGCTACCTCTTGTGTGAGAATGCAGTAGAAGACGTCGCCAATAGCCAAGGGGATCTCCTTCTCAGTGTTTCCCGCTAGGCCCGCTACGGGCAAGCGCTGAAATGCCGCCGCCTGTGCCCGCCTCGCGAACGGCATGCTGAACACCACACTGAAGATGGCAGCGGTACAGCACACAGCATCCTACAGCACGATAAGCATCACGCGTAGTGGTTGTTCTACAGATGGTAGCTATTCAGCCGTGATGAAGGTGTGTTTCCCGGCTCCCACCTGAACATGGATCGGCACCTCCTCAGCCTCTACACCGCCTGAACAGCTTCCCTTCGTGCCTCAACTTCCTGGTCGCACAGCTCAATCGACTCGTACGATATTTCTTCTGCCCCAGGAGCACTGATCACAAAATCTTATCCCATTGACATGGTCATTGGGCTTGAGTATCCAGTTTGCAGCCCAGATCGCAAATGGGTTTCCTAATTTGGGCATCTTAACCCGCCCACAAAAGATGCTCCACTACGGCACACGTGCCCGCTTCGAACAAAATTCAGAAGTCTCAGCTATTACACCGGAAGCACGGGTCTCTGGGACCCTTGATCTGGGGTAGATGAGACCTTGTCGCCGTTTTACTCCACTTCGGTCTGGTATATCCACGCAGCACCCAACAGGCTGCAATGGAGGAGACTTTTGCATAGTTCCAGCTGACTGCTTATCTTAAAGGCGACTTGTCCCCATCTTTCGAAGAGCCGCCTGCCTAAAAGAACGTCGGATCCGCTGTAGTCTTCCGCATACCCGAGCATCAGGATTGTGCTAAACCGTGGGCACGCGACCGCGGCTAATTCCGTCGCCTGTATCACTACCTGTCTCTGTACTCTTTCTCTCTACTCTCCATGTTACTGCGACATACGTACTTCAACATGTCACCAACAGCATCAGCAACCGCTGCCGTACCCACATTGACGCAAAGTGGAGCACGAGTCGCTCTACAAGCCGCGGAGCAGCATGCGATCGAAGTCGGTGTTCCGATGTAAGAGTTCCCCTCCCAGACGCATTGAATGCAGCAGGATGGGACCAACCATGCTAACAACAACAGGAGCATCGCCGTAGTTGACGCGCACACACACCTTTTAGCCTTCACGCGCATGGACTCGGCGAAAATAACGTCCATCAACACCGCCATGGACATGGCCTTCACTGCCGCTGGCAATCGCATCCCGACCTCCGCATACCAAGAAACACCCTGGCCAGGCAGCGCAACCTCGGGCATTGGCAACACAATCATGGGACGCTTCACTACGCTGGGCGGTGGTGTACCTATCCTGTCAGCAGCGGGCGACATACTCGGGGCTATAGGCTGCTCGACGGGCACAAGCATGCAAGACGAGGCTGCAGCAAAGGCCGGCAGAGACGCCGTACTGGACGTCATCAAGAAAGAGAAAGAAGCCGAGGAGACGAGACTACACGAGGAGAGGCAAGCAGTGCTGACACTATGGAAAGAGAAGGAAGAAGAAGTAGGAAACTTGAGAGAGGAGCTCGAAGGCATGGATAGAGGAAGCAAGAGGATGAGGTTCGACGGCGGAAGGAGTGGAAGTGTCAGCGTTGCTGGCAGTCTGATGGGACGACGAGCGAGTACACAAGCAGGACTAGCACCAGATACCCCGCCAGAAGATGGCGAGCTGCTTCCGAGTTTTGTGGGGGAGGTGTCGGTGGGGCGTTATTGAGCGATTTATACCTCTTACGTTAGCGTTCTGAGTATCAGGTTCGTGAACTAAGCATGGCGTTCATGGTGGTAGTTTGGGCGAAAAGAGGCGTTGGTACAAGGGAGGTTTTTTGTTTGGTAATGATGAACGAACACTGTTTGGTCTACTGTATGGTCATGGTATGTGGGAAGATGTATGGCTTATGGTTGTCTGCATATGCGCAAGTCATTCCAGGAGTGATCGAGCGGGGCAGCCTTTCCACTTTTGATGAAAGGTGTGGTGGAGCTCAACATGTGCGTCGGCGTTGTCGGCAACATGTCGACCAAACGTCATAGAACCATGATCGCCCGTTTGGTTCTAGGAAGAACTTGGGGACTGTGGCGTAAGGAAGCATGATTTGCTGGTGCTCTACTCGGGATGGTGAGCATCGGCAGAGGTGCATGCCAGTATGTATCTGAATCGGAAGTCATCTGAACAGGAATATCTCTCTGGCTGACATCTTATTCACCTCCAACAAATGATCCAGTACCGTATATTCACTGCCAACCCTCTACGATGCCGGCATATTTGAGTTCGGGGAAAGATTCACGCACGGCAAACCTATACGCATAATATCGTCTTCCACGCCCGGCAAGATCTTTGTACACCGGCATTCTTCACGCCCGACAATGTCTATTCACGCCCGACAATGTCTATTCAACGGCAATTCCATTACTACCGGCAGAGGTATTCAGCACCGGCAAACGTCTTCACGCCCGGCATCTTTACCATACCGTCACTTTCTTTCCGCATCGGCACTTTCTTCTCATACCGGCACTTTGATGACCCCTCATTCAGGCCCGGCAAATTGTTCCAGCACCGGCAGGTGTAATCAATCCCGACAGAACTGATTCAACCGCGGCAAGTGCATTCAGCACCGACGACCGTACCCAGTATTAGGAAGTGCTTTTAACACCGGCAAACTCATACAGCATCGGCAAGTGCATTCAACCACGGCAGGTCGATTCAACCACGGCAGACTGATTCAACTCCGGCAGACTGATTCAACCACGGCAGGCCGATTCAACCACGGCGGGCTGATTCAACTCCGGCAAGCGCGTTCAGCTCCGGCAACTTACTTCACCCCCGGCGAATGCTGGCATCATTCTTATACCGAATTATCACGCCTTGGGCTAAGTAAAGCTAAGTAACAGCATGAGCACATATGGAGCAGACGACGATGAAAGCGGAAAGCAATACAACCGAGGATATCCTACAACCACACACCCTTACTCACCCAGTCCTTCAGCGCATCACAAGGCAACGATTGAACGAACATGAACGAGCTTCTTCTGTGCTTCACCATCTAGGCGATGTTTGCGTGCAGAACCCACAATCACCGTCGCCAAGAAGAGATAATAATCCACGGAGCGCGACGCAGACTTCGTCCCGATACAATCTGAGCATAGTGGCACGCAATGAATCTGATAGGTCGTACACGTCGCAAAGCAAGCGTCTCTCGTCGTGATCTCCTACACCAATTTGTGTGACTATAGAGCTGATCGAGCTTGCTTTCGGCAAACTGTATTTGTACGTGGGAACGACATGCACGCGCGACATGCCGGGCGGGTTCGAGCTTCTTTCTCATCCCCAAGAACCGCCCACACGCCGAGGGCAATTTCCTAGGAACTCGTGGGGACATTGCCCGTCGCGCTACGAACATATAGAGAAATAGCCTGCGTGCGTTTGCGCGATGCTGAGTTCATTTTCGGCTGGAGGAGGCGGCGGTAGTAGGATCAGTCTGGCGCATTGCTTTTGTGCTCGCTGCCGCCTGCGCAACTGCGATGTGGCTAGAGGGGCACTATAGTTCGCGAAGACACACCTAAGGTACTATTAACTAAACTACAGTTCTACTTTGTAGAAAAAGGATAGCCTGCATACTTAAATATTAAGGTTAGAACGGGCTGGAATAGACGCAGTAGTAGTAGTAGCGGTAGTAGGACCTTTGCGTAAGGAACTGTTCACATTCACTATCTTCTCGTTGGCAATGCGATGAATAAATCACCAAAAGCTACGTCGATGCGATACAATTGTCGCATTCCATATTCTTCGGGTCTTCTCAAGGTCCTCAAGTTTTGCCTGGAAACGGCAGACTCACAGCGACTTACGCAATCTCAACACCACACGGGAACGATATCGGGCTGAATACTTGTTACAGCCCGTCTTCGATTGCGCAGTCGTCGCTCGTCACCCAACTTACGTACCCCCATGCACCGCCATGGTCGGGAAGCCCTTCTCGAGGAAACAACCAACGGGCGCAGTCGAGGCACCCCGCGCAATGAACCACCGGCGCGCCTCAATTGTCAAGCAAAAGTCCAGCCACCTCTAGACCACGCGCGATCGCCATGCCAAATCACCGACTACATCGCCGAAGCCAACGGTATCAGTATCCCCACCCCGATTCACGAAATAACGATGTGCAAGTGACGACAGTTTTTGATCCCTGTACCGAGTGGGCGACCCAGTTTACCGATGGGCAGCGGGCCAGTGTTGGGCCAGGCGAAGCCAAGCTGGGGGGAAGCCGACACCCGGCCTGCGCGCGCGCAAAAGGCCCCATGTCGCAAGTCCGTCAGCGTTGTAGCATTGCAGCGTTGCTCGTGCGACGCATGGTGTTGAACATGATTGTTTCTTCGTTTTGGTTTCAATGGTTTGTAAAATGCGCGACCTGGTTTTCGGGCGACGCCAGTCTCCTGACAAACCACACTTTGAAGCGACAGGCAAACTCTATCGCCACAGCTCCTGAGCGCCAGATGCCATGGCGCGAGCCACTCGATACTTAGTTGAACGTTCTTTGTTACAAGGGGGCTGGGGGCAGCTATTGGGATTTGGGGGCACACACTGCCTTCTGTGGTTGAGTGACGAAGCGGCGCGGCAGTCTGGCAAAGCCGCCCAAGAACGCGCCACGCCCCCTTGGCAGGCACAGAACACGAAGTGTGCCTGAGCCCTGAGTGCTTACGGGGTCATCTCCGCAGCCGCCCGGGTTCGTGCTGGCTCGCGTCTGTCACCTTCTTTCTTTGGCTGCCGTGCGCTCGCTCAGCTCGTGTTCAGGTACGAGGCGTGTCAAAGAAGCGAAGATCGCTGGCGGATTATATTGTTAGTAGTCGTGTTAAGAGTGATCGTCGCAGGGTGGGAGTGATAGGCAAATGTTCGTTCAGCGTTGTCACATGGGCAAAACAGAAAGGCAAGGGCTTCGGGTCATGAATTCGTGGATCTGTAATTTGGCAACAGAGTAAAGAGGCGCTCCCCTAAAAAATGAGCAGGGAAAATAAAGAGGTTTGGTACCGTAAGATACAGAAGAAAAGAATATGTTTCCAACCAGCGCGAAAGCACGCGTCGCGAGTTTGATCTCCAAGCCGCCCTGTCATCTACAGTAGAAGAATTGTAACCCCCATACACCCTCATGACGTGTGTTGTGACTTGCTTATGCAAGGTCGCAGCACCAGATACCCTCGTGGTTAGCACAACCAATCTTGGTGTACTGGTCGGAGGTGAGGATCTCAGCGTGGCCGGTCTGACCCTCGTAGTTCCAGCCCTTGGACGCGCTGCCGCAGACATCCTCAAGACCGGGCAGGCTGGGGATCTCGCAGAGCCATCCACCGTAGAAGACGTGGTCGAAGGACTCCATGTCGGGCTTGCCGGGGGCAAGAACCTGGCCGTAAGTGCCGGGGTTAAGCTTGTGCTTCATGACACCGTTGCCCTCAACAACGACGTTCATGGCGTTGGACTCGAGCTTGGAGTCGCACTCGAGAGACTTCATGCCGAGCTTGGCACGCGCCTCCTCGACAATGCCCATGTATCCACCGCTGGAAGGAGCGGGAGCGGGAGCAGCGGGGGTGGTGGTTGGCTTGGGAGCCTCGCTGGTGGGAGCAGGGGGAGGAGGAGCGTCGTAGGTGGTGGGCTTCTGGGGAGCGGGCTGGTAGACCATGGTGGTGGTGGGCTTGGGCGCCTCGCTGGTGGGCGCAGGGGGAGGGGGAGGAGCGTAGACGGCAGTGCTGGTGGGCTTGACGGGAGCGTAGGCGGGCATGGTGTTCTTGGCCGGGGCCTCGTACGCAGCGCTGACGGAAGAGCTGGTAGGCTTGGGGATCTCGTAGCCCTCGGTGACGTAGACAGTCTTTACGACAGTCTCAACGACGACGTGGACGTTCTTGACGTGCTTGTGCTGGCTGCCGTAACCACCGTAGGAGGGAGCGGCGAGCGCAGAGCCAGCCAGAATGGCGGCGGAGAAGGCGGTCGAGTAGCGCATGTTGATTGATTTCGTGTTGGTTGATTTAGTAAAGGATAGGAGCTGGACTTGAGTTGACAGGTAAGGTTCGACGGTCGAATTGTTTTTTGGTTACAGATGCGAAGTGAGCGTGTTTGTGCCGAAGGGCGGTAGAGAACGTGGTGTCAAAGATTGACTGTGTAGAGAGTGAATGACTGGATGTCGAACCTGGAAGTCGCAGACCTGGGGTAGTAGAGGAAGGCAGAGGGGATAAACTACATTTATACAACTTGACGCTAAGCAGGAAACGGGCGTTGTGCAGCTGACATGGGCCAGGAAATTAAACGCGAGCGCCATCACATTTCCGCCCACGGCCCCGTCCTCCGCAGATTTACCTGTGCCTGGAGCTAGAGGCTCTCAAGCGCAATCCTCGTCCCAACCAAGCCCTTGGTAGACCGCTTGCATCCTTTCATTTCGTCTCTTGCTCAGTGACAGTCACCGTAGGCCAGGTTTTGGAGTCTGCAGCCCTACGTATTCGCATTGGTTGCTGTCGGATCGCATGTAATGAATGTCTCGGTAGTTATATCCCTTCCAAACCCTTTGTGCTTCACTGCGATTGTGCGCGGCAATCAATAAAGCTTTGTTTGTCTATCCGTCGTTGATTGTCGTGCACTCTGGCGCTTCGACTCGGATTTCGTTGGTACGGTCCAGATGTGACAAGCGTCAGGGGTAAACACAGACGATCATTGGGCTTGCGCAAGGGACAGCTCATCAAACGCCCACTTCGGAAAATTAAGCGGAGAGCTAAGTCGAGAGCGGCAAAACGTAAAGATATCTCGAAGTGCGCCGCTGTCCCATTGGCTGTTATAATCGTTCGGACCAGGTACGGTTTCAGATGTTTTTCTTAGCCCAGGGTACAGCTTGGTCTGACCCGGCTCTGTGAGAAACCTCTTGTGAAAGGTAGTCCGAATAGTTGCACAACTACAGTCCGCCTTAGTTTCAGCTCTTGTGCCACAGCATCTGCTGGCCCTTTCGCTCGTATCGCACATGGCGAGCGATTCACGCGTCCGTGCGACGTCCATCGCTGTCCGAGGGAAGAGTCGAGACTCTAGAAGGCCGTTCGCAGAGTGGAGCCGCCGAAGGATTTCTACTCGGACGGGAGAGGTCATCGTGAAACAGCGAATCGTGGGATATTTGGAGATCCCGTTTCTATCGCGCCGCCCAACAAGGTAGAAGTAGAGGGGAAGCCTGACTGCCGCCCGTTGTCGCAACATCCTTCCGCCGTTGCAGGCGATCGTGTGGATGTGACGATAACTGCCAGAGTCAGTGGCGCTTCATGACACTCGACTTGGCTCCACCTTCAGTGTCACCATCTGCCATCGATCTTCCGCGTGGACGGTCGCCACGTGTTAGCGCACTGGTACACCTGGGCAGCGACGAGATCTCGTCTCTTGACGTGGATCCGGTACACCGCATGGTCAGCGACCCTCCAAGGACTGTGCCCGAGCCGCCCACCAGGTAATCAGCCAGCAGCCGAGATCAAAATTCAACGTCATCTCTCGACCCAAGCACGCGACACAGCTAGGATGTCGTAAAATTAATGGTAGTGATAATGAGGGGTTGTAGCAAGGTGACCCAGCACTGTTTAATCTTCGACCCGTTGCGGCACCAGATTGTTTCTTTCAACCTCATCTCACTCAAGATGAAGCACCGAAGGCCTGCCGTGCCTCAGGCCTCGCGATTAAGTGAAACGTCGATTTTGGTCTGGACGCGCTCGCCGTTTGTCATGATGTGTCGCCGTGTGCTGGCGGCAAGCAGCCGTCTTGCGTGGCCACCGTGCAATTTCGCGGAGGCGGCTCAGGTTTGTCTTCGTTGAATACTGCCGCAGACCCACAGCATCAACGGCGTTTGGTATACCCGGCCCGTCATCAGGTTTTGAGGTGGCTGTCGCCCCGCTGTCGGCTGTACTCCGAGTACGGTACGTGGTTTCTTTTCGGCTTTCGACTGCATGCTAGTCGAACTCTTCATCCACACACTTTTTAGCCCAGTCGCAACGCGCCCTCCGTCGCCGCGCCTGATAGGGCCAGCCCTGCAAGGTGTTCTCTCGCGCGTATGCACGATGCTGACGCATGCGCTGTTGATCGTCGAACTCCTTCGTGCCTGAAACGTGGAGGTCGGCAATCTTCCTATCTGCTATCGATTAGATAGCTGGCCGACGTGGCGCGAGCGTGCTGACGACCTGGACGTCAGCAGAACTCGCTGCTCTAGGTCACCGGGACGTCGTCGTGGCTCCTGTCAACCCGGCTGTTGAAGAAGATCCTTCATCCCGGTGTGCCGGACTAACCGTCAGGTACCATCGCGCCGATTTTCACATGCAGCCCGTAGCACCGGCGGAGAACTGCCTCAACCGCGAAAATCCTGCAGTAGCGCGAACGAAACACGTGTGAGCCACGAAAACCTCTGCCTGCCAACTGTCTCGGCCGGTTAGTCTTCCAGCAGACACGTCGGCGGTCCGGTGTCTCTCCCTGGATGGCGGTCACGACGTCATCTGACAGCTCATGCAGCTTGCTGTACTTTTCCACCCAGCTGGCACAAACATCAGGATTTAGCGAGCAAATCCAAAAGCACTACGGTCAGATAAGGCAGAAGCAAAGTGACATGTCACCTAAACAGGATGAAGTCATGGGAAGACGGGAGATCACTTCTTGCCTCCCGAACTCAAAAACGTAGGCGATGCCTGATCCAGATGGCGGCTTGGCGGCAATCATAAAGAACGTCCACGGAGGCCTTCACACCTTGCTCGGGTGACGAATGAAATTGAACCTGGCACGCCGCCATGTCGAGCGCGAAACACTGGGCGTTCTCATGTTGAGCGTCGTATGCCGCTTCACATACACGCGTTCACATATTCCCAGCCTGAGTCTTCACGCAGTCTGCTTCTTCTTCCATGCGGGTGGATTGGGTGCTCGATCGATCAATCGTCATCTTACTCCATGATCCTACACTAAGACGTTCTAGCCTATGCGACTTCACTACTAGCTTTCGGCTTCACCACGTCGCTGTCTGCTTATTAGCCGTTCACCGATTGGTGCGCATCCGCCGTGCCTTGCATTCCCATAGACTATTCCAAGCTCCACCCGCATTCATCTAGATGACTGCGTCTCTGTGAGTATGCTAGATAACAAAAAGCGCCACTGATGGCTGTTATTCGTGTGAGTATAGCCACGCTACATTCTGATTGACCCTCGCGAAGGGCGTACCTTGGAGTGGAGTAGCTATTCGCAGCAACAAAGCCTTGGAAGTGTAGACCAAGGCACCTATCTTTCAGGATCGGCTAAAGAAAAAGCAACGACCGAAACTGTGTTCCATCCGAGCCTAGACAGTTCCTTACATCATATTCAGGGCGCTGAGGTATGCGCCGCCCAATTAGGCAATCCGACCAACCAGAACCCATACCCCCGTCTCCACAGACAGCGCTGAAAACACCTCTGCGGGACGAAAAATCTGCAGTTACCGCCGGATGACTCGGAGACGCTTTGTTCTGCCCTGAATGTATCAGTGTATGATTGGTGTGCCTGGCAGGCCTGTTGGGCCTTGGCGGCTCATACTTGTTCGGTAACGGATGTAGGTATGATAAAGAGCTGGACTACGCCGTGGGCCCACTTTGAATTCCCATGTGTTTAAAGTCGACGTTCACCCTCTTTTGTTCTTGATCTACACACACTCCTTGTCACATCACAGTCAAGCTTCGACAGCTTTATCACATTCTTTCCAAACTTCCCTCTCTTGTTCAATTGACGGTCTGGACCTCCACTCATTCATCACTCCATCAACAACACACAGTCTCTATAAAGAAACTTCGCCACACTCCCTTGTGTCGCCAACAAAGAACATCTTCAAACAACACCGTTACAGACCCTCTCAATCAACAACATGCTTTCCAAATTCACCTTCGCCATCGCGGCACTCCAGGCTAGTCTTGCCCTTGCTGGCAACGCCATCATCGCCAACCGCTGCAGCTACGACATCTGGGTCTGGTCGATCTCTACCGGACACGGTGTGCCCACAGCGGTCCGCATCCCTTCGCGTACCACCCACAGCGAGCCCTACATTGGTACCAGCACTTCCATGAAGGTCAGCAAGACCGAGAACCTCCTCGCTGGCCACCACACGCAATTCGAGTACTCCATCGCCGCGGGTCAGCTCTGGTACGACATCTCTTTCGTCGACTGCGCCAATGGCGAGTCTGCGTCCAACTGCCCTGGCCACGACGAGGGCCTCGCCATGGATGCCAGCGACGATAGCTGCGGCAAGATCGACTGCGAAGCTGGAACATACTGCCCTTCGCAGATCTACTACGTCGACCAGCCTCTGCAGAAGCTTAAGATCGCCGAGCCCGTCTTCATGTGCCCCAAGACCCTGGGCACTAGCCCCGACCTGTACATGAAGGTCTGCTCTGGCGAGGAACAGATCAAGAGAAGCGTTGCTGGACGCATGCAGATCAACGGCGAGGCTTAGATAGCCCTGGTGCCGCGCACTTTACGATTACTTCTCCAGCTCTTTTTATGATTACTTCTTACGTTCTTTATACATAAACTAGGGATGGGATATGGGATATACCTTGGGTTACGATTTGGTTACGACTTTGGATGATTCAATGAAACACGTTACGCTTCTACGAAGTCTTGGTTGACACATTTGCTCTGTGTATTGTTTATCGTGATGATTGCGATGGCGGTATATCTTGACGTCGGCTCTGTATCGTTCGTCGTGGTAACGGGCGCTTACTGATACCAGGGCTGTGCCTGTCGCATTCGTGGCGGGGACGCGTCGCACGATACGAGTTGCACATTTGATTTTGGCCGAGTTGTGCCAGGTGGTGCGCTCCGGGGCTGCTGCCAGGGCATGGCCATGGGGATAAGCGAGTCCGTTAGCGCGAAGACCACGTCATGCATTTTCGTGCCCAACTTCATCTCAGCCCCCATTATGGTGATGTTTCATCGAGTGAGTATGGATGCAGAGAAACGCACGATACAGTGTTAGCTTTGGGGAGGAGTAGATGGTTCGAGTCTAGATCTCCTGTACGCGCCAACCGGGTGACAGAGCCGCGCGTCAGGGGCGCAGAGGAAGACGAATACCGATGCGCTTCACCAGATACTCTTCAACTCGGTCTTGTCATCGAACTTCGAAACATTACCCGATACTGCGGTACCTGATGCCTGTTACGACTCGACTGAGCTTAGTCGACGACCGCAGATCAGTCTCCAGTTACCCCACATCTGCACCGAACGAACAAATCTACCCCGAACCTTTGTCCTCTAAAACGCCCCTTACCATTCGGGCTAGCAGTAACGCTCAACATGGCTGGTGGCTGCATTCGCTCGACATGCATATGATTAGTAGTATCAGCAGACGGGGCAACTTGCATCCGCGGGCAGATAATCAGTCTCGTTGCGAGCCTACTGAAGCGATGGTGGAGTGGGGAAGCTGTTGCGAGAGGGGTTGCCGCGGCTACATCGACCTGTATTTCTTTCGACGTCTACCATACGATTGTTGATGTACTGGGCTCCTTAAGCAAACCCAAAACCTGGACTAAAGTGACAGCATCGAGTTTCCTCCACCTAAACGCAAAATGACGACGAAAGGTCCGATCGCAGCAGCTCCGATAGATGAGGTACCTCTTACCGAGGCAGAGGCTCCCAAGTCTACTGTCGATATCAAGACCGGAGAGATAGCAAACAAAGACGAGCTGCCTTTTGACCCGACAGCGCTCCAAGCAAAATACCTTCAAGAGCGTGATCGACGTTTAGCACGAGACGAAGGTGTAGAGCAATATATACTCCTCGATGGCAGCTTATCACACTACTTGGACGATCCTTGGGTCGAGCCGGGGTTTCAGCGCGAGCCTATTGAAGAAGAGACGGAGGTGGTAATCATCGGTGGTGGTTACGGTGCTCAGGTCTGCGCCGTGCGGTTGATTGAGGCTGGCATCACAGACTTTAGGATCATCGAGAAGGCTGGGGACTTTGGTGGAACATGGTATGTTTTGTTGAACAGCATGCGATTCATTTACTAACAGCGAGGGAGGTATTGGAATAGGTATCCCGGGGCGCAATGCGACATCGAATCCTACATCTACATGCCCCTGCTAGAAGAAGTCGGATACATGCCTACGGAGAAGTATGCTCGTGCCAAAGAGCTTCTCAGACACTCACGTATGATTGGCGAAAAATACGACCTTTACTCGCGAGCTCTCTTCCAGACCGAAAGTAAAGAGATGCGATGGAACGAAGAAGAAGGAAAATGGACTACGCACACAGCGCGCGGCGACAAGATCAAGTCACGATTCGTGATCCCCGCCGCTGGTCCTCTTCATCGACCCAAGTTTCCCGGCTTGAAAGGCATTGAAGACTTCAAAGGCCATTCATTCCACTCCTCGCGCTGGGACTATGCCTACACGGGCGGCGACGCATCGGGGAACCTGCTCAAACTCAAAGACAAGCGTGTGGGTATCATCGGTACAGGCGCGACAGCCGTTCAGATTGTGCCTCATCTGGGTGAGTGGGCAAAGCAGCTCTACGTCTTCCAACGTACGCCCTCTTCGATCGACGTTCGTGGCAATCGCCCGACGGACGAGGCATGGGCACAATCGCTCCAGAAAGGATGGCAGAAGAAGCGCATGGACAACTTTGACAACATCGTCAACGGCGGCTACGAGAAAGAAGACATGGTATCCGATCGATGGACAGACATCATCCGGTCTCTAATCACCGCCGGCATCGACCCAAACAACCCCGTCGAAGCTGCAGCTAAGCGACAAATCGCAGACTTCAAGAAGATGAACGCTATCCGCGATCGAACCGACGAGATTGTGAAAGACAAAGAAACAGCCGACGCTCTGAAACCATGGTACAACCAATTCTGCAAGCGCCCCTGCTTCCACGATGAGTATCTACCGACGTTCAACCGTCCTAACGTCACGCTCGTCGATACGAAAGGCAAAGGTGTTGACCACCTCACCCCCACCGGCGTCGTAGCCAACGGCCAAGAATACGAACTCGACTGCCTCATCTACGCCACTGGTTTCGAGCTCGCAAACGAATGGTCGCACAAAACCGGCATCGAGATCTACGGCCGCGACAATCAGACCATAACCGAGAAGTGGGCTGATGGTGCACAGACACTGCATGCATGGGGAACGCGCAACTTTCCCAACTGCCTCTTCGTCCAGATCGTGCAAGCGGCTCTTACGCCGAACTTCATGCACGTCACTAACGAGCAGGCGATTCATTATGCGTACATCATCTCGGAGTGCAAGAAGCGGGGCATCAGGACTGTGGAGCCGATGCAAGATGCGGAGGAGGCATGGACGAAAACGATTGTTGATGGGACGGCGATCCGGGGTGACTTCCTCAAGGAGTGCACGCCCGGGTACTACAACAACGAAGGCAAAGATAGTGAGAGGGAGAAGAGGAATGCGACGTTTGGGTATGGAAGTCCGGCGTTTATTAAGATCCTGAATGATTGGAGAGAGGAGGATGGAATGAAGGGCGTGGATGTTACGTATGCCAAGGACGAGGCGGCCGATGCGCTTGCTAGAAGTCGTATATAAATTGACCTATGGGGAAGCCTTCCTTACTCATAAATTCTACTCTCGCATTCCAAAAACCGTTCTCGGTTCATTATGAGAATTGGGCTTTCGAAAACACCAACATGAGCTCATTCTCCGAATTCTTTGTTCACATACTCAAAACCTCGCGAATGTTCTTCATGGCTCACTTATGCCCGGGGACATATTTATCTTACAGCACATCTCTTTGGCCCACCAATATCCTAGAATATCAAAACCACAAACACATGTCCATCAAAAACTCTGGAGGCAGAGATCATGTCTCACAAGGCGTGCGAAAAGTGTACATTCGACGGGCTGTTCTCACAATGGCGGACGAAACTGCCGCTCATCAGTTCTCGGCTTCGCTATCGTACTGAAAAGCTCATGACATGTCTTCGATGTGAACACCATCGATGCGCATTATAGCCGCTACTATGACGAGTATATTAAGCTGCACTGCTCGCTCCATCACTCTTATACACTCACACCCACAAGTACCATTTTCCAAAACAAATGAGCCGCTCAATCATGGAGACCCCGAGCGTCAAAAACAGAAAATACCCTGGTGCATGTTCGCCGCGCTCGACTCCACTCTCCTCTGCAAAACTCTCGGCAAAAAGACGCAGGACTGAAAAAGCTACAAAAGTTGTTTCATGTCGGCTTTTCCCTCTCTCCACAAACAAGCAATGCGTGCTATCATGTTCTGACCACGCCATTCTCGGCGTAGAACGTCTCTCGAAATGCACTACGGATGTATCGGTGTTGTTCCGTTCCAGGCTTTGCTCGATATAAAAGCAACCTTTCCACGCACTCTTCCTCCTCACTTCTTCACCATACTGCTGGTGATTTACTTCAAAAAAGCAGCGAGCAATTGTCATGGGTGTCGCCTCCCAGAAAGACTGCCGAACATTCTTCCATGTGGTCGCTTCTGCGCCTTCTTCCACAAAACTCAGAGAACCCTTTACAAAACTCGTAAAGCGCGTGCGAATGACCTTTGCTTCCTTCCAGCTTCAAATATCTTGGATCGCTTCGTCTGCAAAACGCAAGAGCGCCAAGGACATGAACGCTGGACCTAAAAAGTCTAGCCCCACACTCATGTTTGCGAGCGGGCCTCTGCGAACGAACAGAAAACCAAAAAAAGTGCCTTGCTGTTTGCATGCTGCTCGCTGCGTCGACTTTAAAAAGTACACCATTTGTGGTATGACCGTCTCGGCACAGCGCAGCGAGAAAGCAGCTATGAGAGCTTTCGCTATCTTGCTGTTCTCTGTTCTTCCTTGCATCTACTTCTTACCACATTACCAAAATGGGAAATACAGTACCACATGGAGAGAGCATCGCCTCCTCTCTTTTCTAAATTCTAAAATCGCACAGCGGCAGAACGCATGGAGAACGTCTCCCTCCTTCTTTCGCCCAATTCCTGAAACTTGAAGCTGGGTTTTCGATGAAAAGACCTCGCCTTCCTATTCCCCGATATCCTAAAAATACTACCTGCCTGCTTTATGTGGAGAAGATCTCGCCCCGTCCTCTTCTATAAATACTAAAATGCATATGTCCACAACGCATGGAGAAGACTCTGTCTCTCTTCCTCCGAAAAATCACCTAGCGACTCACTTCATAAGACGCAGTGTCGTGACATTAGGCGGTATGTGTTGGGCAGTCTGCAAGGACGTTCACATCACCATCTTACCAATCTAAGACTACAAACTCCAAACGTCAAGCTATCAGAGGCATGTCGCTGCGCTCTCCTCTGCGTCAAAAGACGACGGCATGATCTTTCATGTTCTCGTGCGACTCGGAAAAAAAAACCTTTGGTCGAGAATCCCATGGCGAGCTTCCCTGCAGAATCAAGTTAGTGTTGCCAGTGAGGCTCGCCAGGCGTATAGTTCCTAAGTGATGATGATGCGCTCCATCATCACGCGGTACCCATATATGTGGAAAGAACGAGGGCCTGACTGAGTAAGGTAACATGGGGTATCATTCATCGCCAGCGCCGCTCAATATAGGCGGGCGCTTGTTCCCACTATTCCGCTCTTCATTTCCATAATATAATGTACACGTGTCCATCTCCACATCCTCTGCAAAGTCTCTTCCCGACAGCCAATCCCCTCAATGCCAGGCTCTAGAACGTCAGCTCCTACAACGGCGGACTCTCCGGCCGGTCGATAGCCAAAGAGAGGTAGTAGTCAGTCAGCGCATTCATCTCGTCGCCGTGATTCGTATCGAAGTCATCCTGCCGATCTGCATGGGCTTCTTCGCCCCACCTCTTCAACGCTGGGACATCCAACTGCATGTGCCTGTTGTGAGCATACGGCTGCTGAACGCACTCATAGCCGAGGACGCCAATGTCCCAGACACCAGCGCAGGAGTCGCAAATGAGTGTGGTGGTAGCTGGAGCAATGGGGTTGACGGAGCCACAGCGGAAGCAAGCAAAAGAGCAGCGCTCACATAGGACAACGTCGCTGTTGTCTGTCGTACACGGGCGGGCAGGGCGGGCACAGTACGTGCACTTCGATTTGCCAGGTATAATGGCGCTTTTAGTGTCAATAGCCTTCCATTGTCGACGCAGTTCGTCTGGGATACGGTCTGCGCTTCGTCCCGAATCGCCGACGTCCTCGCTCGTGACCTTGTTGAGGTTGTCCTTGCAGGCAGGGATGTCACACTGAGGGCCTCGCGACGTTGTAAGACCGAGCTGGAACTGTAGTGCCTGCTCGCGGAGATATGGCGTGTCGACGCCCCCATCGAATGGACCAGCGTAGTTCACACCCTGGACGACTTGTCGAATTGGTAGACTTCCCATAGGTGCGAGTTGCAGCTGCTGCGTTTGGAGTAGGTAGGCGGCTTCTGCAATGCCAGACTCGGGTGCTAGACGAGTGATGTCGCCATCCTCATCCTGAATGTCGTCTTGCTCATCGTCCTGGTACGGCATATAACGTAGCCTGTCTGCATCCTTGATAGAGGTATCGTCCCTGCCGACTTCAAGTACGTTGACTGAGCCATTGACTTCTCCAACGACAAGCTTGCTATAGTCTGGACTAAAAGCTGCAGACATGATACCGGAATCTGTGGTGACCAAATCCTTGATGAAAGTGTTCTCTTCCGCGCGCGTAACGTCCCAGACCTTGACCACACCGTCGGATGAACCTGAGTAAAGCCGAGTGGCATTCTCGCCCCACGATAAGAACCGTATGCCGGTGTCTGTAATCTCATGCTTGATTCCTTCTTGGAGGGGCATTAGGGAGCTGCCGTGAGAGAGGACGCGTAGAGGGTCATCTGGCATACGCGCATCCCAGACATAGACCTTTCCGTCTGTACAGCCAGCTGCGATGAGTCGCTCGTCATGTGGGCACCAGATTACATCGTTCATATCCAGAGCTTTACACTCAAACTCCAGGGGACATGTGAACTTAACGTCATCTCTTACGTCGTAGAGGCGGACAGTTGAGCGGGTACCGCGGTTGACAGTGGATCCTGTTGCTACGCAGCCGGCAGCAAACATTGGCATGATGGAGCGGTTCGGATTGAAAGTGACGTCGAAGATGTTCTTGTTGGATCCATGAATGTTGTATGGGGTCTGCGTTTCGACATCCCACAAGCAAAGATCGCCAGTCATATCAAGGCCTGTATCCTTCAGGTTGGCACCGAAGCCTGCAAGAAGAAGCCCGCCACATGTCGGTTCGAATTGAAGAGCAGAAGGGAGAATTCTCAGATCTGCACGCGCGACAGCCTTGTTTGAGTGAAAGCTCGATTTGGTAAAGTTCCATGGCTCCGCTTCGTCTATCTTGAGTACCCTTATAGCCTTCTCATTGAAGACCTTCGCTGCCGTTGCTATAACACCAGATTTCACAGGGTTGACTGACAAGATATCGATATGGTCTTTTACGTTGAGCTTCGCAGTTAGCATTGGCTGCGTTGCCTCTAAGTCTGTTCTCCAAATACCGATATGTCCGTCGTAACCTGACGAGTACATGTACGGACTGGTATTCGAGAACGCTACCGAGCTAACGGTAGTGTAGAGCTTTGGGTCTTGGGAGGCGAACATGGCGTGACTTGAATTGGCGCCAGACTCAGTCTTCTCGCGAATCTTATAATGCTCTGCTAATTCATGGATTGTGCCATCCACGGCACTACCAAAGAGGAGGTTGTTCGGCCGATTGTACTGCATCGAGTCTGGATCGTCAACAGCCACAGCACCAGCAGCAAAGTGCTCACCGTCCGGCGCCCATGCAACAGTGTGAATGTCGCTTGAGGCGCCCGTCCAGCAAGCTGCCGGTCCCATGGTATCCATATACTTGTTCTTGACCTGGTAGGTAAGCGGATTTGACGCACTATGCCAGCCTCTTCTGGATTGGAGGCCTAGCTCACGTTGACGGATGATCGATGTTGTGGACTGCTTCTGGGTTGATTGCATCTCTGTGTCAGGTCGCGCAGCTGCAAGCCTCTGTATTTGCGGTACTTCTGCAACGTCGCCGGCTAGTGCGTCCCGCAAAAAGGCTTCGATGCTGCGGCGATCGCGACATGGTAGACGATGGAGGAGACTCTCGACTAATCGAAGAATCTGCGGTTCTGTGAAAGCCTTCAGATGTTGGCGAAGTTGCCTTCCTTTGGTGTTGTGTCGCGATTTTGTGTTTGCGGTTCTCTTCGTCAACGCGATGGCTTTCTCCACTGAAGCGAGCTCATCTGGGCTGAAGTCAACATGTACTAGAGTCCCTTGCCAACCGCGACTAGACAGCTGGTCCCAGTCCCCAGCAGGTGGATTCTGCATCGAAGAACGTTGCGACGTGCTGAGATATGGCACTCTCTTGGTAGTGTCCTTGCGCGATGTCTTACGTGAACGTAACCCCAGTCCAATTTCGGCATCATCCGCATCATACTGAACGTCTACCGGCTCGTTGTCGACGGCGATCGCCTTACTAGGCAGAGGAATGTCGTCCTCTGGAGACGTCTCTGACCGAGCGTGACCAAAATCGTCCGCGAAGGCTTCGTAGTTGTCTTCCATAAAC